ACCACGCACTCCAACTATGAAAGTTTACTAAACGCTTCATAATTGTATATTCTTCATATCAAGCGGATGGTCTCTGCCTTCTTGCCGCGGGGTAATCCGGTGTCACGCAATTAAATTACGACAAAATGTTTTCCACATTAATGTGGAGCAAAGAAGTTTGCGTGAATAGAGATCAGTTTGTTCAAGTCACGATCTTGAACATTATAAATATTCAACCACTTACTTAACATCAATTATGATATTTATCTTATATAAGAAAATCATTTACTACTAGCATGCTTAACCCATGATAAATTGTTATATCCTAAAAATAACTGTTTCTTTTAAAATAAGTATAAATTCTTTTCTTTACTTTGGCAGAACCATTAATTTTAATTTTTCTATCATTAAATTCAAAAAATGACGATAAAATTTCAAGAATTGTGGCACTGACATAGCTGGCAATAACGAGAAAATGCCGTGATGTTTAAAAGCATTTCCGGTCCACTTCTATTGCTTACTTTGTAGTTTTCATCGTTCATTAGGATGCTGTCTGGACCACTCCAAACACTTTAGACTTCTTCATCCTTCATCAAAGAAAATATTCGCGGTCTTTATGTTTCTACTATACAAATGTTTTGTTCTTTTTTTCAACGCATAATACTGAATAATACCATTTTATTGTTTTACGCTGCGACAGTGTTATACATCGAACTGAAAAGTTTTGCTTCATCGAAATGATGATAGTTCACTGCAGTGATGTGATGTAGTTTTACGTGTTCGCAAGTTTTACGATTGAAGTGCAGTAAATGTAAGTAATGCGTCCCCACATTAATGTTTTATATCACTTTTTCCGACTGTCCAAACTTAAGGATAATAAAATCCACCTTTTATGACGCTGCATATTCAGACTTATTGCAATCAACATTTTGGAGGTAATCCCATATAAAACCAGCGAAAGCTATAAGCATAAAAACGAAAAAAGAGACAATCCCTTTTTATTGCCTGCAAGGACACCGCGTCTCTAAAATGTGGAAACAATATCTGTGTTTCGATGAAGAACCGTCATAAATAATACCTGTGCGATTCTTTTTTACATCATCTGGTTTGCATTTTGGCATAAAATAAATTTTGCTACTCAATGTCACTTTCGCACCGAAATCCATTTCCTGGAATTTCCATATGCAGATTGTGTTGATAAACACAAACGCGTTTGCAAATATAAGCTTGATTCGGATTGTTTTTCACTTTTATTTTTGAATCAACACCAGCATTTTTTGTTCATTACTCCAGTTTTTTGCATGGAAAAATCCTAAATGAATGAAAAGCAAGACATCTGCCCTCCACGTGTTTGCATGATGTAAACTCTCATTAGATTAGCCGGGCAAAAAGTTATCCAACCGCTATGCATGAAAAAAGAGATGATTTTAAATAACACGTCAGGTTTTTTGGCGTTCAAAAACGCAACGCAGGTGAAAAACGCGCATCATTACCAACAGGTTTCAGGTGACCAGACAGTAGCTAACCAATGTCCTTTATTTCAAACCACAATTCACGGATTGACCGCTCAGACAGCTTTTTGTGTGTTGGAGAACGCAAAGCAAACGTAAACACAATTTTGTATTTGTGGGGATAATACTTTAATCCTATCGATTGAAACATCCTTCGAGGATTGGGAATCTTGAAAGGGTAATTTTATTGTCACATTCGGCAAATCAACAACATACACGCACTTCATTCAATTTTAGTTTTTGTCAGTGCAGATTTGAATATAAAAAAAAGCATAACTCACAACTGAATTTTTGTTTACTTTTACATTTTTATTTGGTCAAAAATATGTCTGAACCAAAATTTACCTAAATTATTTTTGCGTGAAAGCAAAGAAACAAGAAGAAACAAACAATTCATTTATATATTAGCTAAAATATTTTTTTTAGATAGCTTTAATTGCGATATTACTAAATATACAACCAATTATACCTATTTTCATTTGTTTGACGTTGCAGTAGAAGCATAAAATAAAGAAAATATATTTTTGCAGATACGAGTTATTGGAGCGTGCAATAAACATCGTTATTTTGTCATGTTACCTGCTGACACAATAGCCAATTATTGAATAACGTTCTTTGAAACTCAAGTTACGTCGGAATATGAATTATGTACACCAGAAACTATGTATGAAATCATTAGTCCATGGCTTATTAGTTATATTCCGAGATATTGCAGGCGAGTCGCAATTGGCAGTGCTCTAACAAGTTACAAAAGAAAGCTCGACTCACATATGAAACGAAACGAGCTGCGCACAATACGGAAAATGGAAAATTACCGACGTGAGCGGCAGTTATTTTACTGCCATTTTATTATACGAATGAGTGGAAAAACTAGTAAATAGAAGCACAACGATGACTATTATGTCATTATATTGGAAGCTGCTGAAATGCACAACAACGAAATACGTCAATTGCCATCGGGGTTCATATTGCAAATGTGTCTATGCCCATTACGCTCATAAACGTAATTACGTCTAGTTAAATAATTACATTATAAGCTCAAAATTGACCATGAACATGCACGTACAAATACAACTACATACTATACATGAATTTAACACTCTGTATTCACAAAATATCATAGATTTTATTATTCATTCACTTTGTTTTCTTGGCGCAGTTGAAGTTGACACAAAGCAACAAGCAGACAGGCAGCATTCTTGAAAGAAATTTGTTTACTGCACAAAGAAAGCACTGGCAAGAGTCTCGCCGCCAGTAAAAGCGTATGCACTAACTTTCATAGACACAATATTTTAGTGGAAATTGCTGGTGAATAAATTCAAGTAATAAACATGACAGGAAAACCGTGAATTATACGCAATAGTCTGCAAAGAAGCCGGTCGACATCCTATTTATTAAGACGTTGTTTTAGTTAGCTGGTGATTTACTAGTTTCGACAATCTGTACGCACGCAAAGGATGCGCTTCTTGCAGAAGAAAGCTTCGTATATATTCTAACAAGTGGATTGTTTTTGCCACCGCAGCAAAGTGAACAGCGTGATATTTATTGCTTTGAGATTAATATAAAACGTCTTACGGTAGAGTCGAGGGAAAGTAAAACTTTTTCCACCGACTGCTTCTTTTGGTATTGCAATTACTTTTGCTTTGTTTACAAGCAATATTACTTCAAGTTGCTCGAGAATCTGCGAATTTACCTAAGAATGCATATACACATAAAATGATATTTACGCATTCTAAGTGGAATAACAGTTTGCAACTACTTGAAAGTAAAGCTTCGACTATTCTGCTATTCTACTGCATGTAGCTCAGTTGCATATCAACATAGTTCTTGTTACAAAGTCATTTGCTGCAGGGTGTTAAGCGTTTTATGGAAAACTTTACATCCGTGAGAAATTTAACACAAGTCGGCAATGGATGTTTTCCAGAGTATTATTTTAAATGTTTGCTTCGCTGAGAACATTTATTTGCACTTACTGGCTCTTGTTCAAACACTATGCACGAAAGCAATGGTCATAAATATTTACTTACATTAAATTTCGCGCGATGCATGTTTAAGTTATGGTATACATTTTAATGTGCAAACGTATTAATGTTTGCGTAAATTAACTGGGAATGTTTATCAAAACATTGTGTTTTGGTACTTTCAGATCTAAATGGAGAGATTAAGAGAAATTAATTTAATTAAAATAACTTTTACATGTAAATCGAGAACTTTTGTTGGCTAAATACCAGGTGTCATTATTAAATCCTTAAATTTAATGGCAGTGAAAGACAACATTTTTCCGCTTCCCAAAATAGAACAGTCATGAATTAACTAGTACACCTGGCCGGAAACAAATACACGCCACATTAGCTGTTACTTATCTTGCCATCGAACCAAATTAATTAATCTGTCAAGCCACAACCCTTTGCGACATGCAAATGCGAAATGGTCGCAATGGGTTTACTCCTCATTGGCAGCCGGCTGCCTTATCAAGTGACCTTCCAGATAATTTCTATTAAGCTTGGGTTAATATTTGACATAAACCAATAAAGACCACACCTAAGACCTATTCACAGGGTGGTTTGTAAGGGTTTATTCCTAGATCAAAACATGTTATATCTTCCAATTTATTACACTAAAAAGTAACTCTTTCATATTTTCTAAAGAGTAAAAATTGTTAGAAATATATAGTTCTACACCACGTTTCGCAGAAGGTTAATTACGCGACTTGTTGCGCATTAGATTCCAACCTGTACACTTGACGGTGGTCGGAAGTACGCGTCGGCCATACCGGAGAATTCGCATTGACTTAATGGCGCAACCACGTAATTGCAATAATTATGCTCCTGACGTTTTGTGTGCGCAGTACAATGCTATAACTTGAATATCTTGAAAGGGTTGAGTGCTGCACTAACCGTTTGTAGCGTACGCATTTTTGTGGCGTTCAAAGTAAAATTCATCTGTGCGTATAGGTGACATCATATAAGCAACCCCATTTTGTTTACGTTGGGTAACCAGCCATAAGGTTTAATTTCAGAAAACATTGACTCGCCCAGATCTCACGGGCGTGTGTTTGTGTATGAGGCTTTTTGGTGACGAAAAGTATGACGACATTTATCGATTGCCATGAAGTGAGAATGTACGTGTTGTGCGTAAATATTTTGCCAGGATGTAACATATTGTTTTGGAAATTGTATAAAAATATCGCACGCATCATGCGGACACACAATAAATTCAAACCTTGAGATATATTTTATATACGGCGGTGTTATGTTTCTATGCGAAGACCTTTTATTTGATTCACTTAACTGGATTTCAAAAAGCATTTCTGTTTTATGTTTCACACCTTTTTTACTTACAATATGTTACATTTACTCATATTACCGGAAGTGCACCAGATTGTGTTTGAAAAGAAAATGTATAGTTGGTTGCATACTGTCATATAACCTCACATTTAATAAATATTTGATTTTATCATGGTATAAATACGCTATAAAATATTAAAATGTTTGTGTTTTGTTGTTACAGAGTTTCCTGAAGCCTGAAGTATTTACCATCGGACAAGTGTAACAAATAACAAAAGTTTTGACATTTATATACATTTGAGGAGGGTCCTAACGGCAGCAATCTTGATTCCCGAAGCCTAATCACGTAACATGGTGCCGTTTTGAGGAACCACACACAACATTAAAGGTTTTAATTAAAAATACTAATTAAAAGAAAAATTGCTACGCGAAACAAGTAAACCTAGTTATGTTCACCGACTTTACGCTGCACTCATAATTAGATCGAGTCGGATTAAACTCATTAATATGCATCTGTAGCATTAGTAGCTTGTTTGCCTAGTGCGTCACAAAGAAGCAGTGGATGTAAAAACGTAAAGAACGAAATTTTTGGACTGAATATAGATGTTATTGTCTTATAAATCTCTGTTAATGTAGATTATAAATAGCTACTTAAAATGAAACGAAAGAATGAAATGAAAAAGTATTATAGGTTTAAGTGAATACGCTTATTTTGACGAATCTTTCGTTTCAAAAGATACAAAGTCACATTATAACAAATATTTTTCATAGATAGAAATATGAATGTATAAATAAAATATAGAAGTTTATATTAAAAATAACTCAGAAAGAATTGCATGTGCATTTGAAAGATGATGGAGATTACAGTATGGATTTCCATCACATTTTGGCATTTTGTACATAAGAATATATTCAATTACAATGGGCTGTTGTTTCTCACGTACTTGCTTGTGAATTAACTTATTTTTGATAAGTATGTGTTAAATACAATAATATTATACGTTGTTATATCTGTTTAGAAAATATTTATATATTAAATATAATCTATAAATAGAAATATACAAGGAACGAAGCACGGAAATTCAATGAGCCCCAAAATAATTATTTTTCTTGCTTCGTTTTGGATAAACGTTTGTAAGTATGTCTAACTGAAGAGGATAACCTATATGGGTAGCTACTAAACTTACTGTGGCTGTTGATATATATGTATATTATAAAAAGTGACAATGTATTGATTAATAATAATGATGATAATAATAATAATGGTCCAATAAGTGAATGTATAAGAGATGAGGAACTGTATGTACTGTCGGAGTAAAACGCATATAATTGTGATTAAATATAAGTAAAGTAAAATAACAAACACGTATTTTCAATTTCCTTCCGGTTTTTTAATAATTTAATGTAGTTATGAATTAATTACTCAAAAACTATTAGCACGAGATTAAAATATATATATATTGATTGAATTTATAAACAAGCTTGTAAAATTTAATAAAATCCCTTTGTTGTTTTCGGCAAAAAAACTTCAAAAATCAATTAACCTTTGATACTATTACAATCATAGTTCAATATTTCATACATTTTAGAAATAATTGTTGATAATAATTTTTTATTTCTTTCGTGAGTAATTAATAAATAACTACAACTATGTATCTTGAATTCCAGATAAAAATAAAACCGTCCTAATTATGTCTCTATGTTTCTACGTCAATGTGTCCAGTAATTATCTGCTAATTGCTAATTTCCGGTCATAGTTATTTTGACGTGGATTATTAGGCTCACAGGAATTGAACTAATTGGAATTTTGTTTCCACCCTAATACAGATATTATTTGTAACAAACAAAACTAAAATTCTTTTGTAAATCATTCATATCATTTTGATAATTTTCATATTTAAAGTTAGTTTTACCTAAATTAAAATGCGCATTAGAAAAACGACTAATACAATTATTTGTAATTTAAAGTTAATATGCGTTTGGTGAAGATTTCCAATTAGATACGTACTAATTACTTTTGAAAAGTTTTGAGACATTGTTTGCTGAAGTGACTAGACCTTTACGCCCACCTACGCTACAAGTACAGCGGTTGCTAAAGCCAATCTCGTTTGTTTTGCGCAACAGTCATGTATTATTTGAACAAGCTCTAAACTAAGGCAAGCATATTCTTAAAACTTCCTAAAATCTAAATTTTACACAGTGCATAACTAAAATGACGTAAAATTTTAATGAACAGATCAACACTTGAATGATTAATGTAGTTGCACACTAGTGTTGATTATGTTAAAAATATAAACTGATAAACGAAAAGTTCTACCAACGAAGTTAATTTTATTAAGTTAATTGGGTTGGACAGCACGCTTTCAACATGGCAAACAAACCCGCATCTAATTTGGTAAGTGTTTTATTTCGAAATTATAGGTACTGTTTTGAGGAAAATTAGCAAACTCGATTTTCAGAGAAAATATTATTGTAAATTTTGTTAATCACATATAATAAACACTAATATAAAACTAATTAGATTCTATATTACGTCATCAGTAGTGTGAAAACACTACAACACTACCAGAACATTGAGAATCAAATATACTTTAATAACTTAATATTCTGAGCAAGACTGGCCCAAATTTAACATTAGTGAAAAGCGCCTGATTGGGAAATATACTTGAATAATCCGCAGAGATCGAGAGAGAAGACGACAAAGTTTCAAGTTTATAGCACGAAATAAGTTAACTTATATTAGCTTTCAATCAAGTTTCAAATTGAGTACTTCAGTTGCAGCATTCCACCCCGGCCGAAATATGAAACAATCACAATGTTCGAGGTTGTAATGAAACAATAGGGGTGGCTGAAGTAATTGTAAACTGTTTACTTCCTCTTCCGCATTCTGTGGTTTGTTCCATCACTTAATAATTTACGGAAAACAATAAGTAAAGACAAATTAAAGAATAAATAAATATTTACTGAATAATCAACGATAAACAATGAAAACAATTTCTAAAAGAAAAATAAATTTTTTATAAGTTTGATTGTTCTTAAATTAAACACTACTCAAGACTGAGTGCTTACTTTTGTCCAGACTCGTAAAACGTTGATTTAATTACTTATTTTTATTTAATTAATTCGAAGAATAAACATTCCTTTTCAATTAACTTCGATCAAATTATTTTGATGATAACTTCGCATTTATTGAGTAACCTATTGAATTTTGTCTAGACGCGTTCTGCTGTGATAATATTTACGAACGCACTTTCTTAGGTAAATATATCAACCTCTATCTTTATTCGACACAGAAAAACCACCGAGCACTAAAAATCATAACGATCTCATGAATCGAGTAAAATTCTGCAAAGAACATTATAGAAAGACACTAATCCAATCAAATATTTGCAGTTGCTTAGTGCAGACGCGAAGATATAAAAAGAGCACAATTTATACTTCGATTGAAAAGTGACGTGGCTACAAAATGTGCTTAAGAGCTTAGAATATGTAAAAAAACATTTTTATATAAAAAATCAAGTTTGTATTTGAGTTCGCGACATGTTTGTGTTGTGAACCTGTTTTATTAAACGCTGGGAAACTCAATGTAGTAGAAGATTGATTGGTTTCAGAAGCCGGGCGTTTTTTTCTACACAAGCGAGATGTAACTTCTAGTGGGCCAAAAAATATAGCTTTTTATCGAAATACCAAGAAAACTAATAGCAGGAAGTTCGTTGACTCGGCAAACTATTTTCTTTTTCAGCTAAAATTCTTATTAATTTATTGAGCAATTAATATTAGTTCTACTTGGAAGTAACCGCTATCTTAGCAAATCAAAAAAAAAATACTTCTATTTCTAAAACACATATCAAAAGTTAGTTTAATATATATTTGAGCAAATGTACTACTTGAGTTCAAACCACAATTATATTATTTAGATTTAGTCATGCGTGAATATCCTCCTACACAATGCGGGCGTAACTATTGATAAGAACCTACATATGAGTAAATATCATGTCAAATGCATGCTCATCTACCTCCAGTAATTAGTTTCAGGTTATACTCGTGAAATACGCTTATTTTCTACATTAAATTTATAGAATGGGTTCATTTTACCGTCCAGAACGTGAACTCACAATAATAGCCGTTGGTGATTCTGATAGTAACAAAACAGAATTGTTAACCAAGTATACAGTAAACAAGGAATTTTATAAATACTCATTTCCTGCCACGTAAGTCATTATCATTCAAATATTAACAGAATAAATTGTTAAACCGTGTTTATTGCTTTTAGATTTAACACTAATGTAAGAGATATCATCGTGGATTATATTCCCTATGAGGTTACATTCATCGATTGCGAGTATGATGACGATTACTCAATTATACGATTTGCAGATTATGAAAAGGTAATATACAATTAAATTAAATTTGTGCCTGTAATTCTATTTTTACATTGATCAAATGATTAAACTAGCTTTCTAGTGATTGAAAATTCCAATTCGTAATTTATGCCACTATAGCAGACGAGCTCAAAGGATTAAGTAATTTACAACGGTTTTTAATCAAAGCGCGAAGGATAGACCGAGAATTTTAATTTATGTTGGCATTTCAATTCGATTCTAGGCCGACGTGGTTTTACTCTGCTACTCGATCGCAAACAGGCGCACATTCGAAAGGATGATCACCAAATGGTGCGTGGAAGTAAGAAAAATCAATCCTCGGTTGCCGATTATTCTAGTTGGTAAGTATCCACCCCACGTTCGGCCTACTGAATGGAGAGCATCGAGATTACAATGTCAAGAAATTGAAAAATATCTCGTTGTTACCAGCTGCTGCAAGACGTTTAGTTAATCTGTGTATTTCTTCGCAATTTTCCAGCAACGGACACGGAGCGACGTAGCAATGCGCGGGATGTCAAATTCGTCACGCTGCAGGAAGGAGTAGACATGAAATTTGCTTTAAACGCATTTGCGCTAGTCGAGTGCTCCGTTGAGAAGCTCGTTGGAATCGATGATGTGTTCATTGAGGCGGTAAGGAGTACACGCATCTTGCCCGCTATCAATTGCACTGATCCTAATAAATCATCATTTTAAACGAAACAGATTGGCATTTTCTATCAGTGAGTCTATAATTAAATTACAATAAATGCTGCGATAGATAAATTTAGACAATGAATGAAAACTCAAAAACTATTGAATTGCCAATTAGAAGATTTTGATACTAAAAATTAAATAAGTAAATTTGTAATGATAAAGTTTTTAATGAAATAAATTTTTGAGACGCATAGTTTCTAAAAAGTTTAGTTAATGGGTAGGCATCATTTTTACCATTCATTATTATTGAATTTAGACTGTTTTATGGACCACTCAAAAGTTTTAACGAATTGCTAACAAACGAATGAAAAAATTAGATTAAAAATGAAATTAAAAGCTGCAAAAATATACTGCTACGTCCCTAGAGAAATATTTATTCCAGCAGTCGCCGTCCACCGGGAGAAAAATGGGATTTTTCATTAAAAGAACACGTCTTTTTGAAATAAGCAATTAAGTCAAAAAATGATCATTTGAAGTACATGTTGGGGTAATTATGCGGTCGAATATAATTAAGGTAATTTAAAACAAAGATTATATTTAAGCGAAGCAATTGTTTCAATTCTTTTTCGGCGCGCAATTCTCTTTCAATTATATTTTGCTAATAGCAATTAAAACAGTGCCTAGGGCATTTAATTATGGATACCTATAACATATTCCAATTTGGTTTTGAAGTTATTAAAGTAATTTCCTTCTACCTAAGGCGATGCACACGTGGATAGTAGCAATGTATGCACGAGAACGACTGCTTCCAATTTCAGAAATCGGGCAAATACGTGTGTAACAACACACCTCCGGTGTTCTGCGTTTGCCTCTCTTTAAGAACAAAGAATTAATTACTTTGAACTTAATTAGAAATTTTATACGCGGAAGTGTTGCAAAGTTTATGATCGGCAACGCAACGGAAGGGCCTTTTCATCACGCACCAAGTTAACACGATATTATGATACGGGATAATAATTAAAATCATTACCAGGGGTGCAAAGAGCTCACGCGCGCAATAATAATGTCAAAAGAACGCCGCTGATTAAATTGGAACCTATGCTAAACTAGGAAAATTAACTTTATATTGGTTGTATTGTAATTTCAGTCCAGTGTGCTTAAATTTAGAATTTGTGGCACATACAAGTATAAACAGACTTTATTTTATTCTTTATAACTGAAAAAAACATTCCCACAGTTTTGACAAAACATTACCAGCACTACGTATCTACATCTGGAGAACAATGAACGGTAATTTGTTTCTTTTGTGTGCTGTTTTTCTTTTGAGCATGTTTTTTTTACTCACGTTGGGAGACAAAAGCGCAGAGGAAGTAAACACTGCTATTGAAAAAGATCATGTATAGTGCTTTATTCGTGTGGAGTACTTTTACTAATGTTGAAAGCGAAGCAGCTTTTGTTTGCTGATTTATACACATTCAAGATTTGATATTTATGAACATGAATTAAAAATGTTATAAATATTGTTCCTAGTATCAGAAAACTTAATTTTATAACAGTCATAGACTTTTAAAGCACATCAAGATTTTAGTTTATGTTTGAAAACAAAATTACCTATTTTTTTATGAATTTATTAAATAAATTTCTTTTTTATTTATGTTAGAAAAGGGTCTCATATGAATGCCTACAATATTATAATCAAATGCCATAAAAAATCTTTATATTGCTCTTCCATATTGCTCACTCACAAATCCTTGATTGTTTTTTATCGTCGTCAAAATCAGACGACATGCCCCAGTCACCTGTCAAGCGTCGGATCATAAAAATATATGCTAAAGGACAACTCAGGCATATAAAAAATGAAAGAGATGTTTTGGGTCCGAAGGACACACCACGCGTGTTTCGTCTGATGGCAATTGCGCGTACGAAACCAAGTCCCTCGCCTGAACCCTGTGACACGAATCGAAAAGGAATTCCCCAAAGAAAAAATACAAAATCGAACGTTTTACATGCCGGCAGCATTTGAGTAAATGACTTGGAGCGCTTGAAGCTATCGGCTGCAACGGCCGAGCGAGCATCAATCGTTTGCCAACGGACCAACCTCAAGTGGACTCGGACGCAAATAAAAAAGACTCCCTCGGTTATTTGTGCGGGCTTTCTCGATTATTATTATCGAAAGAAACCGCTGAATTGTTTCTGCTGAAACAACTTCGAAGGCAACTCGTGCATGTGTATGAGAAAAATAAGATTGCAAAATTGAAACTGATAGAGATCGGATTTCGATCAGATTTTAGTCACACGAGTGCAAAGTATATTCTTAAATAAAATATAAGAGCTAGAAATGTCTGTTTCTGTTATATTTCGAGGGCAAAGATCATTTAATCGTTTATTTATTGTTCACGCACGACAAAGAGATGTAAATCGCACATTGTACAAACGACCTTTAAAGAACTACGAGGAAAAAAGTCGCTAGAATAATAAAGCCATCATAGCATATTCGGAATTTGTGTAGACTGTCGGTTCTTCAAAACCGGTGTGGAAGTACGAGTAGATAGGAATAACCGAGAGCGGCAGCAGCAAAAAACAGACACACACAAAGACTAAAGTGACAAACAACTCGTGAACGGTGAATTCTTCGCACTGAAAGTAGAGTGTTTTCAGCCTACTACTTCTCTCGGCGACGGCGGAGGCGGTAGTGATGTCTGGAGCGGAAAAGGCTGAGACCGACGCGAATGAAAAAAGAACAAGTCGGGCGTGTGTTGCGCTTGTCCTTTCTATGATGTACATGCTGGAGAACACACTAGAAAACAAGTAAATCATTTTATCCACGAAGCAAATAGACGTGCGAAAACAAAATAATAATAATCGTATTTTATTAACACTTCTCTGTGTCGTTGTGCATTGGTTTATTATAAATTGTTTGTGATTTGTTTCTCATTCAATTAGCAAATGACGTGCGAAATAAAATACGCAGAAGTATGATGTAATATATTACTAAATATAGAAATTGTTGGTTTAGTTGTTTAAATAAACAGATTTTAGTTAGTATTTGCGTGATTTGGTTAAGAATCATTTCTTTTCTCACCTATGACACTATAATTTAAAGCTTGTTTTCAACTCAAACTGTTTGTTTGCTATTTCGTGTCTTAAGCGGACGGAAATGAACGTCGCAGGAAGAAATACGTTTTGCTAATCGTTTTGTTTTCCTTTTTTCAAATGCATGCCCGACATCCCAAGGATACGTCTAACGCAAAGAAGGAAGCAAATACGCGTCTAATGATTATAATGTTTAATGATGCGTTACGGGCGAAATGCGTCTCTGAACTCGATGTCTCATATAAATCCAACGCCGGCCGACTTGCGAAAAATGAAAGAAATACTTCTACGACTGAAGGCCCTCGAAAAGGGAACAGTAATGTGTCCTGTGAACTGTTAAAATATTCAAACGTAATGACGTTATAAAAGTCGTGTGCTTCGCGACGGTTTCACAAGCGCCTCAAAGAGACGTTTAACATTTTTGATAAGTGAATTCTAAAAGTTTAAATATAAAATGTCATCAGGTACTTAGAAGTACATGTAGTCGTCGGGGAAACTTTGTCACAAGGACACAGAACGTGTTTTTGAATATGAACCACAGGCGTTAAATCGCGTCATGTTTTGCATAATTAAGGTAGTGTGCAAGGATTCAATTTGTATGAAAATGAACTTCGCACAGCAATGACAGTCTTTTTTAATAGATTGACAAAACGATAAAAAACAAGCACCTTAGCATTGTGTTAGAGACATTTTCTTCGGCGACGATCAGCTAACACAACATGCAAACGGCCGACGAGATTACTTAAAGATTCATACTCGGGTTAAAAAACATTTCAGCTTAATAGTAACACTTCTTGTGAAGGTGAATATTCACGGTTCTTGGATACCGGTTAGTAACTGGTAAGAAAATAAAACTACATTCTCCGACATATGAATGAAATTTCATTTCTTTTTATCAATTTTAAGAAACATTTCCTCAAATTATAAAATTTCTATTGTAACTAAAATATCGAGAATAAATAAAATAACTATTATTTTCTTCTTTTGTTAGGAATTAATCACTAATCTGTTAATATGGGTGTTTGTCTAGAATGAAAGTGATAAATGAGTTGAGCTAAATGCACGTTTTATACAAGGACAATAAATGTTATGGTGTCTCAGATATCGATGACTGTAATAAATCACAAAGCTGAAATCGCAAACGCCTATCGAATTAATGATACATATTATTAATAATGAATTTCATCGCCAAAAAACTGAATTGGATGCAAATTTGAATAAATGTAACCTAAAACTGCCACTACCGATTAATAAAACTAGAATGAGAAATATTGAAAATCAATATTTGTGTTGCAGCATAAATTGCCAGAGCGCTATACGTACAACAACTTGAACTTTTATATATTGAATAATATCTTTATAACTTCGAAAAATTCTTAATATTCACAATTTTATTGCGCAAACTTGGCAATTTATTTATTCATCGACAAGCAGATCTTGCAGCAACCAAGTTAAAATTTGACACCAAATCGATTCCACGGCCGAGGTCATAATTTTATAACTGTTCATAAATTTAACACGCTTTTATCATAGGACGCATAACTTTCGATGATAATAGCGACGTACGCAAGAGACCATGCACATAGAATGTCAACCTAAATAATACCCTATAATGCACATATTATTACCGACGATCCTAATCTATCTCATCATAATAAATTAGTGTTGATCGTTTATTGCAAACCTTCCTTCAGGTTGTGTTATGTCTACATTCGCCCCTCTAAAACGAAAATAAACTCCTGCAAATAACATTCGCCAAGCGGTCTTTTGGGCGTTTCTTTTATATTAGGCTTAGTGGAGAGACGTGGATTTGATAGAACAAATTTATTCCAACAGGGCAGGAGCGCCGAAAACCAAGAACAAAGACTTTTTTTTGGTGTGTGGTGCTTAAAATCACATTATTTCTATATTTGGGCTTTTTATTTATGCGATAGGTAAAACTTCTTTTTGAAGTAAAAAATTTCTTTAGAATCGTTGAGATTTCAAAATTAAAAGTGCTAAAAATTAAAATTTTTCAATTTTTGCTCATTTTATTCAATCGCGAATATCTCGTAAACAAAAAGAGATAAATAGGATCCCATCGCAGCGTATTAATCTACGGACTATTCTCGATAAGATAGGATAGTTAAAACGGAAATCTGAGAAATAAAATTTTAATTCTTAAGAAACAATTGATAATTTTTTTTTGAGGATTTTCGATAATTAATATCTTTGAAACTAAAACAGACAGCAACTAACAAATTGCTGATTATGAAAGATTGGAAAATTCTCTATCAGATAAAAATATAAAATAATTATATTTCAAACAGTAAAAGGTCAAAAAACGCCACTAAAAGTACTAAAAAGTGACATTTTTCAATTTTTGCCCATTTTATTCAATCGCGAATATCTTGTAAACTAAAAGAGATAAAAAACTGCACACATGATTTTTTTATTATCTCAAAATTAGTCAATTTAAATACAAAAACTACAATAATGGAATTCGGGAATTATTAGCTTCATTACTTCTCTTAAGACGAGCTCCAAACGTGTTAAACTTTATTGATCTCTGCATGCGATGCGACTATTTGCTTAAAACAAGCTTGCGCTCGCATGTGCTTAACGCGAGATGAGAAGATTACATCTTGTACAATTGTGGGCACGCCGGTACATCGCACGTATTCGCCCGCATTAGCTTGGCATCGCAATGCGCTTGCAGTGCTGCAATCAGATAGCGCGAAATGAAACTGACTATTTCTGGGATTACAACACCGTTGGCAATTACGAGCACGAACACCTTATCGGTGCCTTATAAAAGATACGCTTTAATTAAATTTCATTGCGTTCGAAAATCATGTTTCAATTAAGATCCCAATATGACAGCTCGCAATGTTTTATGAGCAGACAACCGCGCCATTCAAATTCAAATTGTGTTATTTTGGCTATTTTAATGTCGCGTAATTATAGTTAAATTATTGTCAACATTATGAAATATATCGTAACACAAAGAATTGTTTACAATTTGCAGTTCAAGGATAGTAGTCATAATGTATGTGTCATTACTTGACTCATCGCATTTTGCAAAAAATCACACGATATAATTTTTAACATACAACATGTTTTACTTGCAAAAAATATCTAAAAGCACTCAACGTGTAATAATTTGCAATATTCAAACACACGACATAAAAATAAATCCGGGGAATCCCTTCAGCCCGATTGTAAGTCACATTATTATTAAATGATAAATAATAAACTTACTTTTGTATTGAAACTAATGTTAATATCACATGCGACAAAGTAAAGTGTTGTTTTGCACACCTCTGTAATATGTATATATGTGTTATTTTTGACGTTGTTTAAATTACGAACGCAATGATATAAAAGCCGTAATCAAGTCAGACGTTGTCATTCACCTATTGCCCCAGAGCAACCAACTATCGATTATTATTAGCAACCATCGGGATTAACGGAATCAAAGCAACAACATAAAATGTTGAAACAATTCGTTTGTGTATTGGTAGTAGTAGGAATCGCGTATTTCCAGGGTAAAGTATTTAATTAATGATTAATTAAATTTATAGCGTTTAATTAATTAACAAATGTTTATTTTAGGCTCAAACGCTATAAAATGTTATTTGTGCATTGGATCACCAACTAGTGATTGCGCAAATGCGAATAAAGCAGCGATGGTAGAACAAGAGTGTCCAGAAATTCACTGGCGACCACATCATCGTCATCACCACCGTCGCCATCATCATCATCATCATCCTGACTTTGAAACAACAACTAGTGTTAATGATATCATAGATAACTCTGTCGAATCTTCCTCTGAAAGGCCTGATTTGGAGGACTTTGAGAGACAAGTGGCTGATGAAAATAACACTTCGACAACTCCAAACCCGCCTAGATTAATACTGACGGCGAAGTGCACATATCTCAAACTTAAAGGTAAGTAATTGATACTTTTTAAATCAGATTGATAGCAGCAATTATGTGTTTTTAGCTTCAAACAGAACCACTAGTCTTGTTGCCAGAGGTTGTGGATACATGACGGCAAAGAAAGACTATTGTACTGTATGGGAGAAGATAAATCCGAATTTGGTTGAGTGCAAAACATGCGATACAGATGATTGCAATTAAATTTGTATAAAAAATAAAACTTTATACTTTTACTATTGAATAAAGCGAAATGTGAAAAGTAGAATTTTTTGGAAATTATACCAAATGCCAAATAAGATATATTATACTTTTCAGCACAATTCAAGATTAGCAGCTAATTCTATTTTAAGATAGAAAGATATAAACAAGAAAACATTACAAAGAGTTTATTTTTGGAACAGAAATAGATAAGAAATTTAGATAAGTTAAATCAATTTAATTAAGAATTGATGGACATATATTTTGAGCAAAATGCTTATGTGAATATGCTTTATTTTAGTTTTCGAACAATATTAAGGTTATTTTCCTTTTGCAGTTTTTAAATGTTGCACAAATCTGTCTCACAATCATCACATTCAACAGCCATGTGCAATTCCTTCAAATAATCACAAACATTACGCTCGTCCTCCTTTTTCATAAACCCACATCCCCGAATAAATCCTCCTGTCATCTGAATGCTATCTACAATAAATTAATACAATTATCATACACAAACACGCCACTAGTCGCATGTCGTCTTATTAATTACCAATTGATTTGTAGGATACACAATAACTGCGACTCTGCGCGTATTCAGGACAATGTTGAATCAGCATAGTTGAATTATCCTTTCCGTTGCAATCACTGTCGACAGACCCAATGCACATATAACAATCCAAGCCTTCAATTAAATTAGCTCTTCGTTAGCAACTTTACCACTAAATATCTACACGTGAAAGGAATGTTGCATCCAAACTTGTGAGCAATACTTACCAAAAGCAGTGCTCGACAAGCAAGCAAACATGCCAACAACAAAAATAATCTTCATTATTGATGTGAATACCGAACAGGATCAACACAAACTGAACAGTTCACATTCAATGTATGTTTATAAATAGTTTTTTCCTATCACTATTTCAACACGTTAGAAATAACTCACAAAATGTTTTTATAAATTGCGTTTTATAAATTTAATTTATGTATCGTGTTTGGCAGTTCGTCATGTCGCAAAATACGGGATTGTTGGTGGCAATATCATGAACCGTTATTGTTTCTCTTTCTGTGAGGCAATGGAAAAAAATATTAACTGTTTCATCAACTTTCATATTCCCAACTCGCAAGGATCATTGCTTTGGTGACTGTGAGGCTTAAATTTGCATGCCAAGTGCCCATCAAGTCAACGACAAGGGGAGAAAATTGTATGAACTTTAACACAATATAAAACAAAGTAGAAAATGAAAGAAAAAAATTATGTTAAGGGTATTTTGTGGAAATGATGACCGAGTTCAAGTTTTATAAATTATAGAGAGAAAGAAAATAAGTAACACATACACATTTAGATGTAAGTATACAGCATAGTACAGGATCCGGGGCCTATTTTGTCACTTGATTACTATCAAGCTAATTTTCCGTGAGTAGCTTCATTTTGATAAGACGCCCAACAATTTCCTGTGCGAAAATTTTTGATTGTGGTAGTTAACAGAGGTAGCAATGATAAAATATGTCGATTTGATGATTCTCAAATATTAATTACTAACTGGATTGTTTTTATTAAATCTTAAGATAATTATCTAAATTATTTGAAAAATATTTGTCCTACAAAATCTATGGTTTCATCAAAGAGTCCTCCCTCCAACATGTATTGATAACGAGATCACCAAAAATTATTACTAACCAGCTAATTTTTTTATTACTTAGTTAATATATATATAATGTCACGGTCATATTGTCCTACAAATTCCTTGGTATGTTATCCCGGTCCTACGGTTAAAAGTAGTAGTACAGATCATTGATGTAAAAATAATTACTATCAAGCTGAATCTTCGTGAATAGCATCGTTTTGATGAGACGCCCAACAATTTCCTGTGCGAAAATTCTCGATATTGGTAGCTAACAGAGGTAGCAATAATAAAATATGTCGATTTGATGATTCTCAAATATAATTACTAACTGGATTGTTTTTTATTAAATCTTAAGATAATTATCTAAATTATTTGAAAAAATATTTGTCCTACAAAATCTATGGTTTCATCAAAGAGTCCTCCCTCCAACATGTATTGATAACGAGATCACCAAAAATTATTACTAACCAGCTGATTTTTTTTATTACTTAGTTAATATATATATAATGTAACGGTCATATTGTCCTACAAATTCCGTGGTACGTTGTCCCGGTCCTACGGTCGAAAGTAGTAGTACAGATCATAAATGTAAAAATAGCGTGGTACGCTATTGCGGTGCTCCAATTGAAAATATATTGGAAAGTCATGAAATTAAAAATCAATTTATTTCTCAAGCGTGAGAAAAAAAAATCTTGACTTTTCGGTAGATTTCACTTAACAATAAGTTAAAAAATTACTGAACGCCAACTGAAATTAAACAAAACAATAACAAAGAAAACTTTGTGCCGCTTGGGTTATCTGTAATTGCCGGAAAATTGATGGCAAATATGAATACTATTGGTTTGATGGTCCCCAAAGTCCATCTTTTGAAGAATTATCTTCTGAAATACAAGGTAACCTATTTATACTATTGTTATTTATTGATTGATTATTCATTATTATATAATTTACTTAATTTTTTAATGTTATTATAGAGTCAGATATCACAAGTGAGGAAAGTGAAACAAATGAAAAAGCGATGTTAGTAGCGAAGATTATGATTCATCGGATGAATATGATGAAGATTAATTTTTGTTATCTATAAATACACCAATACACCAATTTTTGTACCTCATTTTTCAAAAAAATAAACTTATTTAAATTTTAAAAAAGATTTTCTCACTGTATCTTATGTTAGAAATCGGAAAACGAAAAAATGACAATTTTTGTCGGACTAGTGATACATACCTGTTTTTTTGTAGGACATTGTTTTATTTGGGCACTGAACACACTAACCTATTATGTAATATTTTTGTCCTACAGTTAGTAATGAGAAAAATGGTCTTATGGTATTAACAATTTCTGAGCGTAGGACCGGGATAACATACCACGGAATTTGTAGGACAATATGACCGTTACATTATATATATATTAACTAAGTAATAAAAAAATCAGCTGGTTAGTAATAATTTTGGTGATCTCGTTATCAATACATGTTGGAGGGGAGGACTCTTTGATGAAACCATAGATTTTGTAGGACAAATATTTTTCAAATAATTTAGATAATTATCTTAAGATTTAATAAAAACAATCCAGTTAGTAATTAATATTTGAGAATCATCAAATCGACATATTTTATCATTGCTATCTCTGTTAACTACCACAATCAAAAATTTTCGCACAGGAAATTGTTGGGCGTCTTATCAAAATGAAGCTACTCACGGAAAATTAGCTTGATAGTAATCAAGTGACAAAATAGGCCCCGGATCCTGTACTAGCATGTTTCCAATTTTATTAAATTAATAAAGATTTTCCGTTTTTCAATTCATATTTTCAATCCATAGGGTTAATATTACATAAATTTTCAATACAACTAATGCATTTGTCAACCTCAACCAACTTTCTAAACCAGTCACATGGCGATAGCCCAATTTTATAGATACCAGTACGAGCAATCATAGCGCTGGTGACATTGTTTTCTACAATTATTCATCAATTATTCTCCGATATATAGTTCATTAATTTAAATACTTCAATACCTTTCAGAGTGTAAACAACACAAGAAGGATTTTCCAATGAATCATCAATTGTACTTAGTCCTTTAGTACCGGGATCATTATTTGCACAATCGCTGTTTAAAGATCCACTGCATGTATAACACTGCAATGCTATAATCGATCAAGTTTATTTGTTTACTTAAATTTAGATCAAGATACTCACTTAATACACTCAAAGGTAATAATGATATTAATATAATTATTAGTGTTATTGAAGTGTAAATCTTCATTATGTACCAATATAGATTGAAAAATATTTAAATGATAATGAACACGAGTGTAGTCTTGTAGTTGATGTAACTATCTGATATTTTTACAAACTTTATTTGAAATATGTTCGTGTAAAATGTCAAATATATTCAATCACGCTATAATCAAATGCAATTTAATGAGTTTGCATTCATGCTGATTTTTGTGAGTCAACAATATAATTATTGTTAACACATTTATGTTACCGAACGGATGTTATTTATTAACTTCAAAAATTGAAAATGGTCGTGTCAAAGCAATATTAATTGCGTATTACTATTACTTCCGTTAGATACTGAATTATTTGGATAGCTTGGAAACTAGTTGACATCAAGTGTGGTAAATTATTATATTAACAACAAATAATAATAAAATAATATATTTAATAAATATAAATTAGTGTACCGTTATGTAAGGTTATGTATATGTAATGATGGTTGCCTAAAATGATTGACTAAGAATAACTTTTAAATTAAACAAATTGCATTTGTATCAATATATTTCGTTAATTATTCATAAAATAACTATAGACAAAAATCAGTATGATTACATTGTTGGCATTTGTCTTTGGCGTGTCTTTGTAAATATTCCTTGCAAAAGTTTTCACCAGAAACCAGACATTTCCGATGCACCATGACGTCCCGCCCGTCTGGCCATCAACGAGAAAGGAAATATAGATCATATATCAAGCCAAACTAAAATATTTGCCAAACAAAAGATTTGGCTAAAACTCACGATATGGAACTTTGGTAAACGTTACGCAGGCTGGATACGGTACGAAAGGCTCTTGCTCCTCTAATGGGCGAAATCCATTTGTGGAAGCGGCCGCGGTACTATCAGTTCGCAGATAAGTGCGTGATATCGCACGCAATATTTGGGGAGTGCAATTCACCGCCACCGCGGCGGAAGTGGTGCCACGCGCACAATCGCTCGATTGGGAGCCGACGCACTCGTAGCATTTCAAGCTTACACCAACTTGAGTCAACATCACAATATATTTAGTGATAATTTTGTGCGTATTAATTTTTTACTTACATTTAGTAATCAAATACATTGACAGTATTAATATAAAAAACTTGGCCATTGTATGTATTTTGATGTTCTATTTGGGGTTACTTTCCGTAACATGTAAATTAAGACTGATAGTGATCATTGCATGAAAATTGAACTCAGCTGGTCAAATGTTCAGGATATGACGTAATATTTATGTTAGGCTAAATTATCGAGTAGAAGTACTCAATTAACTATGTTTATCATTCGCTAGCTTTAAAAAATATATGATATGAAAACACATTTAATGTTTTTTTTTTTCAAAAAAAAATACAAAAAATTAAGCAAAAAATAAAATAAAAAGCATTAAAAAGTTTTAATTATCCCCGAAAAATATTATACATTCGGTAATTTACCGTATGCTTATATCCGAGGTCGAAATAAAAATGTAAATCCGCATTATCTCCGTTTGCATGTATTAAATTACACAAACTTTTTTAATTATAATTTATGAAAGCCAAAGAATCTGCATTAAACTTTACTAACCGCGTATTTTTAGAAATTAATCCTCATTCAATAAAATATATGCCAATATAGTCGATCAGCAATCTTCGTCGAATATAATACGACATTGTTTTCGTTACCTTTTTATTGCTATTTAAACATCGTTTTCGAGATGCAAGACTTGGGAAGAAATTAATAAAGTTTCTTTGGAAAACCTTTTACTTCTTGTTTGCGCATCAATAAGTAGTCGATATTAATTTTGCTTGGCGCAGTGTATTTTACGAGGACGCATAGGATGGAGTTATTGTTTTACTCTTTGCCTATAATGAAATCTTGAAGTCAAGATTGAAATTGCAATATTGCATCGAATAGTGCTAATAATTCACTCAGCTTATATGAATATTAAGATCTTACGAGCGTTAAAAGGGGAAAGGAATATTAAATGTACTGACGTTACACTTTTTCCATTAATAATGAAAAAATGTAAAAGATAGAGATGAGCGTGCAATTACACGTCACGTGCGCAAAAAATGCGTTGCTAGGACGACAATAACAAAAAACAAGTCGATGCCAACTGCAACACACGACGCATCGCATTTTACAGTAAAATCTGCAATTTTTACTCATTGTAAAAAATAATGCAATCCTAAACATTAAATTTAAGAAATTTACATTTCTAGTTGTTTATAATTTTTATGAGTTTATATTAAAACTCAATAATACATTAATATTAATATGAAACCAATTTTAAAAAGTAATCCAATGTAATAACTTCAGATTAATATCATGGCATTCGAAGCAACAAATTCAAATTAAACGGACTCGAATATGAACCCGTAATATTATAGAAAAGAATATGTTAGCATACATTTTTCGCAATGTCTGTATATGTAATTGTGTGGGCATGCAGCAATGGAAACTGCAATTTATTTCAGTTTACGTGTACGCCCAATCCAATCGAATTGTACCTACGCACATAATCTGGAAAGCGAATAAAAATATTTCATATTACCGAGGCACATTTACGTCAATTCAATTCTTGGATACGAGAAGACCTAATAAATAAATTAAAATTCATATGATTTAATTTTCTTGATAAAATACGCGAAGGTAGATATATATTTTTAAATTAGATATTTGATTTTAAAACATTATGCACATTTGTATGTTAAATAAAATTATGGCTGGTCCAGATCAGTTGATAACAATAATTGGTTATTTGATGCATGAACATAACGCAATATGAATTTGTAAATTAGGAAGCGTAGGAAATCGCTAACTCTAAATCATAATTACTAGTTAAAAGCGCAAGGGGATTAAATTTTAGAATTTGCAGTTTATGATTTACTGATTGATTGTTTTCTAATTGCAAAAATGCAAATTTTGCAAAATACATGAATAATAAAAATATAATCAAATATCATATCGAACTCTACTGATTGATTAAATTTAAAAATGTGTGTTGTAAATTAAATTTTTAATAGGTTTCTAATTTGGTAAATTAATAGAAAGAAAAAAAAACGCAAGAGGTAATTAAAAATGGCATTAGCTGTACCTTTCGGAGGCGCAACGAGCAGGTGACCTTAGGACTTTATTGGCTTTTCTCTGCAGCCATTCGATTACCTATTGTTCATTGCGATGCTATTGAACTATATTGATTGCCGTTAGCTTTAAGGCTTCACAGCATCGGAGAACCAACGGATGCGAGCAGCGAGTCAAAGTAAAGTTTGCAATGCAAATTTTATTTAGATATACACAGACCTGCCTCACGCTTTTGCCACATCACCAACGCCCGTTCTCTCCGGTGAGCGGATGTTCCTAAGTACAATCGAGCCAGAAAAGCATTTGTTCAACACTAATAGCAAGCTTCGTGACAAACAGCATCCCATTACGTGCACAATCAAGCTCGCAGGAGAAATTTCGATTTGGAATTAGCAGGCAAATATATGCTGTGCGCCGGATGGAAGACGCCATTGTTTTAAAGCATTCATTAAAGAGCTAATTAGTCGTAGGGCTTCCGGTAAGAAATATTACCTAAATCTGAATCAATGTACCTGGTAGAGATACACAATGACTACCCACTTAAAATCTGTACGCTGTTCTGGTCGATTTTTTTTTACCTTGGAAACTTTTTCAATTTTACATGCGCCTGCATAAAATCGCTGAAGTTGCTTTAATTATGCTGCAGTGTGCTCGCGTTCTGTTTATTCAATTTTTACTATACACATTTGCCATAAAACCAATACAAAATTATTACCTCGTTTTAAAACAGGTCGGAAGTTTTTAACGGATTATCAGAAAACCATAAACAATTTTAGTTGTTGTTGTTTTTTTGAAACTTTATAATTAGAAAGCCTGAAGGTAATGCGAGCATGCAAATTTATGATAAACATTTTTGCTTGGCATTTTTTCTTTAAAATAAAACAGCCTCATAATTAAGCAAGAATAAATTCTTAATTTTACATCAAATAAAGCATTAATAATGAATTTTTATAATCATTTAATATCCGGCCTATTATCCTAAATATTATATTTTTTAAATCTAATTATCCAGAGCATATTAATATTTTGCACACGTTTTTCTGGTTTAAAATGGCCAAATATAATTTATAATAAATAAATAATAATAATTTCAACACATTTCCAATGATTTCTATTATTGGGGATAGATGTGCGTGATAAAAATGAACAGGAAATTACATACGATTTGTATTCAACGAAAATGCTTTCCGATAGAAGAAACTTATAATTTCCTGAACGAATTATTTTTCATATTTTGGACGCGTGCCATTTCTGCCTAAAGCAAAATATAGAAAAATAACTACTACCTGATATTGATTTTATTCCATAAAATGAAATGTGGTAAACTAATTAGTAAAATAGAGTTACAATATTGAAATTGGTTTCAATCTACTAATTAAAATAAAATCTATACGCGTCAAAATTGCATTTACAATTCAATTTCTTGCGGAAATTTTAAAATTGTAAAGTCAAATAGCTATACAATAATGAGCGCTAATTAGTCAATAAATGTTTTGTTATTTGTGTTTGAAATCGCTAACGCAGCGTGAGTAACAATTTTTCATATAATTTATGTTTGGTTGTTATAAGCGCGACGTTAAAAACGAGATGCGTACTAAAAAAGAAAGTGATATCGTTTAGACACCTTGCACTAGCGCAAATAACAAGATAAAAACACAATATTCGCGACGTATAAATTTTATTTTTGAGCAGTTTGCATACCGTAACGCCATCTATTGAGGACAATCAATATTATTAAAATCCACAATAACAACAAACGTATTGGTTAGGTACAACAATGATTAAGTGTGGATTAAAGTCCTAAAACTGTGTTAAAGCTACATAAATTTCGCAATTAACGGTACAGCAAACAATAAACATGATTCTACCAGTGGACCTTCTGAATGCCTTTCATACAGCAAAAAACGATAGGGTAATTTGCAGTATTGCAGTTTGTATCTTGGCTCTCTGCTTTGCAGTTGGTTTGATTTTTAGGTAAGTACAACAATTAAACAAATTGCAGGTTCATTATTTTAATTCAAATGTTTTAGTTCATTTTCTGCCTTAATTATTCTCTTTAGTTATGTTGGTGGCATTGCTGTTGCAATAGCACTACTCAATTATGAAAATGGTGTTCTTTATTTTATACAAAAAGGAATAACTTTATATAAACAACACTTTTCAAGAGAAAATCTTGACCAGCATAATGTTTGTACAATATGCAGTGGTCAGGGTTGCTTTAGACATAAAAAGAATAGCAGACTACCATGGAAAAACATTTATATTAATAAAGAACTAAATTCAAATGTTGAAAATGTAAGTAATTGCATCAAATAATAATAATCATCTATGTTAATAATGTTATAAATATTCTAGTTCTTTCAACACATATTAGATGAGTTTATTCTGTCATGGTATACTGATTATACCAATGATCAAAGCTTTGTTTATGAACTAAAACATTCCATAAGATATGCCACAGGAGTGGCAGTAAAACGTTTTTTAGAGTTAGACATTGGTCATATTATAACTAATAAGTTAATTCCATGTGCAATGAAACATGTTGATGATCATTTGTGCATGGTGCAGATTGCAGAGCTTAAGAATTCAGAAATTAACAAGATTGCTGTAGATTATTTAGGCAAAAGACTTCATATTGCTGCTACTACAAGAAGCAATGAATTGAAATATTTGCAAAACTTAGCATCGGCTCTAACTGAACGATTATTACCAGCAGAAAATTTAAAGTGCAAGTAAGTTTTCTACATTTACACATGAAAACCGCATATAAAATGTTCTAAATTTAATTTTAGAAACTTTACGTTTTTATTACGTGAATTATTGAGTGGGTGGGTATTGCTACCTTTAATGGATGTGCTTGCCGACCCGCATATTATCAATGAACTAGTCATATTAACAATAACGTACAAATCTAAATCTAAGTCCATGTCACACCATTCTGCGGAGAAAGTAGAATTACTTTCAAACTACGGCGCTATTCAAGCCAAGGATGTTGCTTTGGCTATGGATTTGAAGACAATTATTGAGGACCCGATTAATTTATATCATTTTATGCAATATTTAAAGAAAGAAGGCGTTGTACACTTACTACAATTCTACTTAAATATAGGTATTGTATTTTATTTTAGTGTTTACACAAAAAATAACTCTAAATTTGTAGTGGATTTCAATAGTAATCTGTTGAAACCTGACTTAACTAAACGCCAACTGGAAGAATTACATGCAGATGCGTTAACATTGTACAAAGATTATTTGGATCCAAAAAGCGACAACTTTATTGGTTGTGCAGATGATATTATAAACGAGCTACGCGATTTGTTAAATGAAGGCGTTTATAATGTAGCAAAACTACAAACTTCTGAACCTTTGTATAAAGCATCAGAGTTTACATTCAACGTGCTAGAAAATGAATGGCTGCCGTTATTTTATCATAGCATTGAGGTACGAATTATAAACTATAAAATTTCTCAGTCTAATCGATTCGTTTTAGTTCTATTTATTGGTCGGCGGTAATAAAACATCAAGTAACTCAACAAAAGGAGCAGCTACAAGGTAAATAATTAGTAGAAATCAATTTGCATGGAATGGCAAAAACTAATAAATATTAATATTTTAAACTAGCCCATTTATAACAGGATCACCCGTCAGATTCAGGTAATGAAATAATAATTTTTCAGCTAACAAATTTAACTTTAACTAGCATTTTGTAATCTTCCAACTAGACAACACATTAATAATTCTATTATATTGTTAGACAAAGACGTTTAGAAAGCCAAGGAACTGTTGCAAAACTAAGCAATAGTTTGGGGAAAATTAAAGGAGCTTTACAAGCAAAACAACCAGTCGAAGGTTCGATATATCCACCTGAATCGCGAATTGTCGAAAGTGATGCGGCATTTGTGGAAGACTTTTCCGAATGCACGAATCGGCGTAACCTAAGCACCTGGCGCATATCCATTCCAGCCGTTGTGCCCATACAGTTTGATTCAAAAACAATATACGATTTCAATATAGACGTGCAACGCACGGACGCATTATCGACAGGGGAAATTCGACACTGGACCGTTAAACGACGCGACCAAGATTTCTACACACTCAAGTCGAAGCTGATCGAGTTTCACGGCGAGAATGAGATCTGTAACTCACCCTTACCCGCCCGACGCTCCAATCTCTCACTGGATGCCAGAAAATCAAAGTATGAGGAATTTTTGAAAAAGCTTTTAGAAAAACCGCTCCTGAAGGGTAGCGATCTGCTGTATTCGTTTCTAACATCCAAGCAGAATTTCACGTTGTTAGTCACGACATCGCTGCCAATGGTCGATTTAGAAAATATTTATCAGTCTGTTACTTCTAAATTGAGGAAAGAACGCGGGCAGCATTTAGATAATTTTCTTGTAACATTTTTTAATTCCACCAGCGGTCCAAAAGCACAGTAAGCACAACTTTTAGCGTTTTAAGATAAAATTGATGAATATAATTGAAACTTATTATAGAAAATTTGAATGGGCTGAAATCGGGGATGAAGTTGATTCTTCAAGTTTAACTTTATTTAACACGCTACCGAAAACATTCAAAAACAAAGTGTTTGGAGACAATTACGGAGCTGTTTATCAAAGAGACGTAAAAAGTTCATCAACTTCAATAAATCCGAACGGAATAACAGACGCAGGATTCTATTTATGTAACTATAATTTCAGTCTATTTAAAATGTTCCTACTAAATATTATTATCAATTTTCAGTGAAACATATATTCCGTGTACCCGAGCCTTTATTAAAATTCTATGTATGTATTTGTCGTGTTGCTCAACAAGCAGTTGAATCGATGTGCCGAATGTTGATAGACAGAAGTATAAAGTCCGCTTTAGATCAGCCGACATTAGCATTTCTAATAAAAGAATTGGAAGGTATGTGGCATCGACCCCGAACTAACTTTATTTATTTCTATGTTTCCTTTATTCACAGAGGTAATATTTGGCAAACTTGTGCCAACAACGGATGAAGAGCGGAAACTGCGGAAGGAGAAAGCGGCGAAGTTGTTGGCGGAAACTGTACCCAACTTTTGTACTGTTATATTGGGGAAGGACTTTAGGGGCGGACTTTTGAGGTTGTTGGAAATATTACAAAATCCTTTGTATAACAAGCAGTTGGCATATAGTTTAATGGATATTGTGATAGGTGAAATGTACCCAGAACTTGATACTTCAGATGAATTTTACTGATGTTTCAAGTATTGCTTATTGTGCATTTACACATATATTTATTGGTGATATTAACTTTGTTTTTATAGCCTTTTATATTTGCTTGGCATTTAAGTAATTAAAAAATTACTAACGTTGTATGTAAATATATAATCTACTTACATTGATGACAAATTATTTTCCGCAGCGCTTCTCGTGCACTTCACAACTACATTTGTTTTTGGTAAAATTGCTCGACGATTGTTATTCGTAATTTGATATCGATAGCGTCCTCTACAATTTTACGTCGAAGCTATGTCTCTATTGCTGCAGTGTGGTAAGCGTAAAATCAAAAGTAGTGCTGTGAACGCCACCTGACGATTTCCGCTGCTGCCACGCAAATGTAACATGATGGCGTATTGTTATTGTGTGCTGTCAAAACACCTTGAATATTTGTAAATCCTGTATTTGTTTTATAAATATGTAATTTTAATGTATTGTTCTGGTGTTATTTTAAGACTGAAATGGTCTTAACACGTGGTTTGTTTGGATTATGAGAACCCATCATTTCCGAAAGCAAGCACAACGTTTCAACGCCTATCATTAACACTGAACAAACAGCAATATTGCTAATCTGTTTCTTAATATGGGCATTGCAGGAGGATAGAATCTAAACATTTGCAATGAAACATACAGTCTCAAATAAGATCTTATGATATTATGAACTCAACTTCAATGGTGCACACAAGTAAATATGAGAAGATATCAACTACCAATGTAAGGCAAGATTCAAGAAGTCAGAGTTTACCTCAAGATTTGGATGACAGCATACAGAAGGACAATGCAATCTCAGAGAACCTAGACACTCATGGGCTGTTAGCAAAGAAGGAATGTCTCACAATAGTGTCTCAGGATAGTTGGTTCAATACATGGCCTGAGAGATGTGACAAAAACAAATTGGCAACCACACCTGACAATCTTAGTTTGATAGTGAGTAATGGTCAACAGAAGGCAGATGATTGTGATACAAACATGACAAACATGAATGGAAAATTTACTCTTGATGAAGCCTTGCAAAATATTTCACTAGCTTATAGTCCAGTCACCAAACAGCTTCATTTTGTGGAGCACAAGTCTCTAAATCATGAAAATCTTGAAGAAACTGATAATAATAAAAAGGCTCTTGTGGATTTGACTGATGCAAAGCATATAGATTTACAGGATACATCTGAATTAAGCAATAACTTTATAATTGGCAAAAGTTTGGGACATAGAAGAAATGAACCTGGTTCGTATTCAAGTACAATTTCAACATTAAGTGATCCTTCACCTTCTGGCAGTCTCCTAGAATCAGATGACAGGTCTTCAACTAGTGGGTGTGAATCAGGAGCAACTCAACAGAGGAAAAGTTTTAGCACTTTCTTTAACAAGTTAGTTAGGAAATATTTTACTTATTATATAGTATTTAAAACTATATGTATTCTAGAAATGTCTTTTCCTGGAAATCTGCCATTACATCACCATCAAGCACTACATCTGTTTGGAAAATATTTGGAAAAACTTCCGATACTGCTAGCAGTTCACCACAACATTCAGTAGTTAGTTCATCTGCTTTAATACCAAATATGAGGTAATTACGTCTTAATACATTATTTTAATAACTTATATTCATGAAAATACTTTATAGACCATCAAACTTGCCAGCAAAATCAGAGGAGGAAGAGTTACGTCATCAGGAAGAATACAAAGCAATGTTAGCAGCCGCAAAAAGAAAAGAAGCTTTATACTCAGTAGCAAAACAAAAACATCAAAAGATGCAACTTCAACTAGAAGAACAGCAGGCTCAATCAACTAAACATTTCACTCGAAATGTCTTAACAAACTGGGACAAAACATACAATACTCGAAAAACCAGAGACCTATGGTGGCTCGGATTGCCTTCAAGCGTTCGTGGTCGAGTCTGGCGTTTCGCGATTGGTAATGATTTGAATCTAACACAGCAACTATACGAAATCTGTTTGTCACGAGCGCAGAGTAGATTAAACAATCTCGATCCCACTCGAAGTGAATCGGAAAACGATCAGGAAAGCAGCATGGACGTAATCCAATTAGACATTTCGCGAACCTTTCCCAGCTTGTGCATATTTCAAGAGGGCGGCCCGTATTCGGAAGTCCTGCATTCACTACTTGCTGCATATGTGTGCTACCGTCCCGATGTCGGCTACGTCCAAGGCATGTCATACATTGCCGCCATTTTAATATTAAACATGGAGGAGATTGACGCCTTTGTGTGTTTTGCGAATCTGTTAAATCGACCGTTGCACGTGTCGGCCTTCACTCTCAATCAGATTCAAATGCAAGCGTATTACAACGCTTACAACGAGATATTCAACTACAACTTGCCGAAATTGTATAATCACTTTGAATGCTCCGGATTGACGCCTGACTTGTATCTCTTAGATTGGATTTATACGATTTTTGCAAAAGCAATGCCTTTGGATATTGCCTGTCGGATTTGGGATTTATTTCTGCGCGATGGAGATGAATTTATATTTAGGACAGCTTTAGGTAAGAATTAATATTTAAAAAAATCAAGTGTAATCGGCTAAAAAAATAATATTATCTTCAGGTATTCTTCATTTAAATCAAGAGCTTCTCATGGAAATGGACTTTCTGCACGGTGCCCAGTTCTTAACACGGTTACCGGATGATTTGCCCGTCGATCAATTATTCAAGAGCATTCAAACAATCAGCACGAGCATAGGCAAACAAACTTTTAATTTAGTTGTGGAAAAGTGTAGTAACGAAATCATGTCCGAGTCGCAATAATGTCCATTTGTTATCAAAATGTAAATTGTGTATTGATATTGAACCCAACGAGCAGATCGTGGTTGCATACACATTTTTAATTTCCGTCCAGAAGATTAAAAACGGATCAAAACGTATCTGACTCGACGCGCGAAATCGTAACTCGAATATTCATGTCACAGTTGTGTATCTGTAATCTCATCTATCTATTGATTAACAAGTGTTGTAATGGCTGTGTCCTTATGGAATGATCAACAGTTTGTGAATAGATCAACAAACGAAACTATGTAAATATTATAATATAATATGATTGTCTTAGTTACGAGTGTCACTCTTGGATATTACAAGACTGCACATCAAAGAATAACTTCACGAATTGATATCGAAATCGAAATGTGTATAAGCGAATCTAATATTAATTAATTAATACATACACCATTATTACAAATGACAAATGCAATATTTAATAGCAGTAATACTCACGCATCTATATTATTTTAACTCAAATGTCTTTTTTGCGTTAAAGTATTCAGAGATATATTTATTTCGAAATTTATTATTATCTTGTATACTTTTATGAATCTTTACTTATATACAAATTTTCATAAGGTTCCTATAATCACTGATCATATTTACGATAAATTTACACAAACTAATGCAAAACATTTTACGTATTATGAAAGTTCCAATTGATTTAGTAACAATTTATGAAAATTTGTTATAATATTTATGTGAACAAATTACTATCCTTATTTAACATATTTATTGTAAGTAATACACAATTAAATAACGTTATACTTTTTTGCTCTCTTGATTTTTTAAAGATAGATTCGCGTATTTATTTTTCTATTTATCAAATTCTATTTTTATATCTAGACGCATTTAGGCAATCCACGCTATTTTGCTAATCGGTAAGTAAATAAATGCTTAATGAAATGGAATTTCTTTCTTCTGTGGGTTTTTCTTGCGAGAAATAATTCAAAACACGTTAGAAGAATTTGGTGAATATCTATCTATCTATCTATCTCTTCATATAATCTGTATATTGATGGAAGAATGTTTAAAAAAAACAAGTTTGTGTTGCTAAAAATAGTTTAAATTAGACCTTGAACTTGCTCTTGCATAATTATCCTTGTATTTCTACATCAACAAAGCTTCGTGTTTGTTGCGTTCATTCAATTTCGTTTGTATTATATTTTACATAATAAATAACACCATATAATAATAATGTAATATTTTTGGTAATTAAAGTTATAGAGGAGCCACACACGTTGATTTGTTTTCCATTGCAACGAATAATACTATCAAGTGTCATTGTTATGAATCCGCGACCGGTAGTTACATTTTTCATTATAATTTTTAATTATATTTTGACAAAACTCATTGTAATTTTTTCTATAATTATGCTGTGCTGATCCTAAATTGTAATGTTATTTGTTGACATTAAAATGTACAGTCCAGTTACAAACTGGAAACAAATGCGTCATAAACATAATTCTAAATTCTGTGTGTCTTCATTAAATGTATTAATGTTTTTCACGAGAAGCGCACAACAAAATATTGTTCTACACATCTTTGTTACAATAAACACGGTAGTCAAGTAGCGACGTGCAAAGGCCGCACATTTTCATTACCAATTCAAAATTGGTACGGTTTGTTTAAACTTTATATGATCTAAGTGTTAATATTTGAAGCACTTGCGGAAAATCATTACATATGTACTGTGCGTCCATAATGTTTGTCTCTGTTTTATTTAATTGAAATGTTTGAGAGAATCTTGTGGTGAGAGAAGTGGTTTACGTGCCAATACAATGTTTCAACAAATTAAACTATTATTCCTGGTTTTTCTAAAATACTACATGTTATTTTAACAAATAAAAAATTAATTAAGTAAAATTTCTATTCCGGTGATTGCCTTATTCAGTTTCTCAGTTCTTTTTGCAGAAAAAAAAAATACTTTTATGGATTTATTAAATTTTTATGCATATTTTGAATGTAGGTGTATTTCCTCATAACACAATTTCCTGATAATAATGTCTATATAAGACCTATTTCCTATGTGATAAGGAAAAGAATAACTGCCCAACAAGTTATTATTTCGCTAAATGTAGCTAACTTAAGTTCCGGTGTTAACATTTAATATTCAAGTTGTAACTATGAACTTCCAGAAGGTTAAGTGCATGATTCATATACATCAAGGTGCCGAATGAAAACGACATGCAGGAACACAAGAAAAAAAAAACAATAAACTACTTCAGTGCCCGTCTTGCATGCCAATTTCAATATGTAAATTAATGCGATTAAAACATTTAATAATTCCATGCACCAAAAAATACCACAGATATTAATAGAAAAAATGAAAGTAAAAAACCTAGAAGTTAATAATTACGGTTAAATAAATCCCAAGTGGTGTCTATGCAAATATTTTAGTTCGCAGAAGCTAGACAAGTTTAATCGTCTTTGGTTAATATTGGGAAATACAAAGTATTTTTTGCAATAATATGCTAGTGGCTTAGTGGGTTTATGAAGATGTTTAAGTAGACGAAAATAAATTTCACGGAATTCCATGGCATACGTGATGTGACAAAGTATCACAAATAATACGTCGCATTCTCATTGTTATTAAACAAAAAATATATAAATTATTTAATTAATTAAAGAAGGTACAACGTCAGCGTAAGAATTTAGATAAAGTATTTCCGGTATTATTTTAGATAAAGTAATGAAAATAAAATGACTTGTTTATTATTAATTGCGTACGTCTTCCCAGAAATCAATACGTAGGAGTATTGCTCGTAGATCCATCGGATGTGATAACTGGTTTACTTTTTTTGTAGTCAGATTTTGACACCACTTATACAATTTATCTTTACTTCGATATCGCATTAGCAGATAAAATAGCATCGTAAACAACATGTATTATTATTATTAACCTGACTTGAAGAAATTAAAAATTAAATGCGATAAAATTGAAAATATTTTGTTATTTCATTGGAAAACGTGGTGTTGTAATATTAGTTTTCAAACTGTTATCAACATTGAATTGCCACGTTTAAATGCTCACATTTGGAGGATATCTACGTTGAAATGTATTTTCTACGCAATACTTGAACATCAATGATTAAAATTAAAAACTACAACTTACATAACCTTCAAATATTTGTTTAGCTGAGAATTGCTAGCGGTATGATAAGAATTACAATAAAAACAATTTTAAACTTCCGTTACTCATTGATTTACAAAAAAAAAGTTTTTCTGTGGGTATAGTATAAAATAGTAATCTAGTAGCAACTCAGACATAACCTCAAACTGAATTCAACCAAAATAATTTTTTGAAACCTTAAAAACGCTTGTTATTTTTTAAATCTTCACGCATCCTAGCCTACGTGCAAAAAATTAAATTTTACGCGATTGCAACACTTTTTCTTCGCTAAAAATAGGCATAAGTGCAATGCGAAAATTATCCATTTAACTTCAATAATATCAAATAAAGTCACGTTAATACCGCTGTTAATGTGCCGTAAAATATGGCAAATCCAACAGTCAACAGCAGTGATTGTGCGCGCATACAACCCGCGCCAACCCAGCAACTCAAACTTCGACAGGCACACGAAAAAACAAACAAAATTATCAAAATAAAAACGATGTGAAATAACAATTATTTATACGTGACAATAGTTTAATTGCTGCATGCCGTGTACATTTTCAACCTGCCGGTAGCTCCACATAAAGTTTATTGCTACAATACGCGGTAAGGTATTAGCGTCGCGCCGGAGAATAAAAACGGATTGCTTGCTGCAAGCCGAATCATTGAATCCTAGAGACTGATAGCGATAATACTCGCGGAGTTCTACTCCAATACGATACGGTCCGTATCGCCATTCGGTCGAGCCTACGCGTTCGCTAATGATATCGATAATTAATCGTTTGTGAATAATTGTGCATCGAAATTACATGCAGATCGGTGATTACACATTTCGTAAACTTTGGCTGGTGCAATTCTACTTCATTTGAGACTCAAAGGTATTATTTTTTAAATTTTTAACATTGACTTAAAAATATTTGACTTGATAATTTCTTACATAAACAAACAGGCAAATAATTAAAAGATTCCTTCGTAGTAACGTAGACTTTCTTTGCGAAATGCGCAAAATATAAATACATTAACTATTAAATTGCATTCATTTAACGATATTGCACATTGCAATATTTTGAGTCAGCAAATATGGGCAATAGGTGAATAAGTGTACCTATTGATGATAAGCTAGGTAATAGGTAGGAAGTTATTTGTTAAAGACTCGATTAAAACTATTTGCACATTTTGATAGATATGGTCGTATGTTTTTATTTTTCATAAATCTTATTTAAGTTAACTGAAATTCTGTTTTTTTGTAAATACCAGATGTCAATATAACAATATCAGTATTTGGGCAATATAAAAATAAAATGGCTTTGTTATCGCTTTATGGCGCAAAGCGATTGTCTTATCTTGCAATAAAATGTTCATACGAGGAGCAATGCTTTTAAATACGTCGTCAACAAAATAATTTGCCACAATTAGTGTCGAATTAGCAAATATGTAAAGTGTTATACAACCAGGAAAATCAAACAGAACACAGTACGCGAATTGCACGGAAGATATGGTACATGATCTTATTATGCTTACTTTTTTGGAATGGCATCTTAAGGTCATCTCATTAATTAATATTTAGCTTTGAAATTTGATGATAATTGACACTATCTACAATTGGCACCACTTTGGTGAGTGAATTTCATTAAAAGTAAGCCGGTATAAACTGGATTGCGTACCGATTTCAAAATGGAAAATATTTGATATTTAATTGCGCCAATGTTTTAATAGAGTAATCTATTGGTTAATTTTAGTATAAATATTAAGCAAGATAATAATAATTGACAAAAATGATGGAATAAAGTTATTACTATGCTCTATACATCTACTGAATGTCAAAACTAATAAATTTTGTATTTTTAATTGATAGATAATTAATTAATTTTGCCAAATAAATTGAATAACACTAAAAGGTCGTTCAATGACATAAAAGCTATTACAAGTTCGAAATACTGCGCAAATCATAACTTCATAGATTAAATTTAAAGTGACGTAAATATTTTTTTCAGATTTGATCAAAATAAATACGGATCAACTTAATTTAATAGACCAAACACATTTAAATCCACTTTTTTCAGAAAAACTAATTTCTACATTAATTTAGCTATGATAACAAAAATAATATTAACCATGTTTTTATCATCAAAACAAATGCAAAACACTTCATTTCACGATTAATCGTACATCATAAATTATACTCTACTTTGATCTGGTATCTATAATCACAAAACCTACTCACTAAATTTACTTATCATCTCTAATGGAAAATTTTGTTCCAAGCAAACATTTTTCATACTGAAAAACGTCCCGTATTAATTTTAATAATAAAATCAACAACACCAAAACGAGCACATTGCGTACGTGCGCAACTAGGCTAAAATCAATCCAATTCATATCCGTGTTTGTTTTTGATTCTATGATTTGCCCAATTTATCACTGTAGGAGAATTTGTTAATTTTATTATTGTTGTGTTTACAAATTAGTGTAATTACGCTTTGTGTAAATACCTGATGTTGTGCACCGATCATAGAAAAACACTGGAATGTGCCATTAATTGAAAAGAAATTATTGTAATCACTTGAACAAACAAATATATCAATCGTAATATCCGAATAACACAATTATCACGTTTTTACTTCGGTCAATCTGTAAATTTGATAAAGTTTCCATCCATTCACTCGGGAAGGTTTTATTTATGCATTTTTTAGCAAAATTACGATTATTATACAACTCGTATTACTCGCATGACCATTGTTGAGACTTAATGGAAAGTTATAGAAGTGAATCTATTTATAATATTATGAATTGTTTTACATTCATTGAGTAAGTGTTTGAACTATAGCGAGAGTAAATTTAAACGCAGATGCTCGTAATGGAAACTAATTGTAACATTGATTTACATTTCTTTGATTAATTAATGAGTAATAATTCATTATCTTTTGTTATAGAATTAAATATAAACAAGCATCATGACGGAATTAGAACAGAAAGGAAATAAAATTCCGCAATATATTGCCGCCCTTTCAGGTAATTAAATAAATATTCTCAGTTTAAACAATATTTTTACGTGTAATTTTTCTGTTTGTAGTATGTTTGGGCTCTGTGGCAGCCGGTTGCGTAAACGGCTGGACAGCAAACATAAATACAGAATTGGACGAAGGTAAATTCAACGATCTCAAAATCGACAGTGATGCAAAAGGATGGATTACCAGTTGTGCTACGTTAGGCGCTATGGTAATGTGTTTCCCAATCGGTATAATATGCGATATGATTGGAAGAAAACTAGCAAATTTACTACTCATAATACCATTCGTTGTCGGATGGTTGATTATCATCCTGGCGGAAAACAACGGAATGATATTCGCCGGGCGAGTTATAACAGGCATGGCAGGAGGAGCTTTCTGTATATCAGCACCAATGTACACAAGTGAAATTGCCGAAGCGGAAATTCGAGGAGCGCTTGGAAGTTTCTTCCAGTTGCTTTTAACTGTTGGTATTCTCTTTGCGTATGTTGTTGCGTATTTGGTTGAACCAAAGGCGTATACTATAATTTGCGCAGTTTTACCTCTCCTTTTTGGAGCAGTGTTTTTCTTCCAACCGGAAACTCCAGTGTATTTAATGAAGAAAGGCAGAAGAGACGATGCCAAACAATCATTGATTAGATTAAGAGGACAGAAATACAACGTTGAGAAAGAATTGAATGAAATTGCCGCCATGTTGCAAGAATCGGCTAATATACAAGTTAATATTGTGGAATCAATGAAGAAGCGTGCCGCGCAACGTTCTTCGATTATTTGTTTCGGACTTATGTTTTTCCAACAGTTGAGTGGAATCAACGCAGTTATTTTCTACACTAGTGAAATTTTCACCTCAGCGGGATCCGATCTTGATCCGAAAATTGCTACGATTATTGTTGGTGCCATGCAAATTTTCGGCACTCTACTTGCTTCAGTTATTGTGGATAAATTGGGAAGAAAGTTACTTTTGATTGTTTCCGATTTATTCATGGGTATTTCTATCATTGTACTGGGTCTATTTTTCACATTGAAAGAACGTGATCTCGTGGACAGTTCTACCTTAACTGACATTGGATTTTTGCCAGTATTATCACTCTGCGTGTTCATTATTATGTTCTCTATTGGTTATGGCCCTATTCCATGGATGATTTCATCTGAAGTTTTCCCACCTGAAATTAAGACCTTCGCCAGCGCTGCGGCCGGTACATTCAACTGGTTTTTAGCTTTCCTTGTGACCAAATTTTATTTGGACCTTAAAGAAGCGTTTGGAGGTGATGTCGTATTTTATATTTTCGGTGTAATTTCTTTAATAGGCACAGTGTTTGTTGTATTCTTTGTGCCAGAAACAAAGGGCAAATCGTTTGATGAAATTCAAAGAGAATTAAATGGAGAGAAGAGTATTGTGCCAAGCAAAAATTAAATTTAGTTTAGTTTTGTAATAAGTTATAATACACGAAACAAACTCTACTTGTATGCAATGTACATATTTATTTCAATTGAAACTTGTTTTAAATTAGTGCGTAGTTAATATTATACTATGTACATAAAATGTGATTTCATATATACTATAAGTGACGTTGTCCAATATTGTTAATTATTTTCATATAAATATTATAGACGTTAATATTTCTTTGTATTTTTGATCTAACTTATTGAAACACCACGGTATTAGAATTAAAGAAAAAACTTCTAATCAAATCCTATTTCTAACTAAGCTAATAAATAAATTTCTTAGTTTTAAAGTTTATGTCAAGAACTGCAGGAAGTCTAACGAAAATTAAAGGAAAATGTTTTGCAAAATGACGCGTTGGTTGCCTAACATCGTTTCAAACGCGAGAATGCTCGATCTCAAATATTCGCGAAGTTAATTAAAATGCAATCTACGTGATAACAAGCAGGTCATATGATTATTTGCTACTACTGATAAAATATCAAAAAGGCCAAAAAAATCAATGAATTTAAACCATTAAAATTTACTGTCAGATGTTTTTTTTCTTCAATTAATACAAACTTCTATATACATTTTTACATTAATTGGCATATTTCAATTTCTTAATTAATAATTCTCAATGGTCTTAACAATGGTCTGAAATATTTATTATTACACTGGATTACTACTACTATCACTGTCAGTTTCTTCTCTTCTCAAATTATTTCTCGATTCTAGCAAGGAAGCATACGACTTCTGCAATTGCTTGCAACAACACAAGTCTTTCATGAGTCCCCCCAAACTACTATCAGAATTCATCCTGAATAACCCACTAGAAAAATCCTCGATTTTCGTAGCGCCAACAAACTCATGCAGATCGCTCTTTGGAAAACCTTCCTCGTAATACAACTTAATCGTCTCATACGCGTCATTAATGACAGTGATGAATAAATTCAATATTACATAAATGTATAAACTTATAAAAGAATAGAGATAAATTCTGCTAAACCACCACAACATGGTGGACTTGTTAGACATAATGGAAAACGTCGCAAACATATCATCCCCGTTTACCAAAGAAAACAAACACTCGCTAGTCGTTGATAATGAACGGAATTTCAAATGATATGGACCAAGAATCAACCAACCACAGAATGTAAAACCGCCATAAATCAAAAGAGCGCAAAGTAAAAATCTAAATATCTGCGGTGTAGCTTTCTTCAGCGTGAGAATCACGACGTTGTATGTTCTAAAGAATCCCAAATATCTCAGAACACCAAACCAAACCAGCATGTTGCCCGTGCCAAGAAATACACTGCATATGTTCCAATTGTCGCTTGTAAAATCTTTGCTCTCAATTCGCTCCTTGATGCTTGATCCAATTACAATGAAGATATCATTAATTATAATCATAATGTACCACATATTCCAGAATTCCATTCTATCATCCTTGCACAGTTCTTTGTTATAATTTAAGCGGAAGAATTGGCAAGTAATTCGGCTTAATTGTTGCGCTCTCCAAATTGCCCGACTGCATAATATGAATGATATCACACACGTGAATATGACAAAATAATTTAGCAAACTTCTTAATACTGAATCAAGCTGATTATCCATTATGTATTTGACATCACCATTGCATTGTAGTCTCTTTGGTACAGTGTCCAAAGTTAATAACATTTGACCATCATGATCCTCATTGATGAAGTTGATAAATATATTAAATAAATAACAATTCGGTGGTGTAATTCGGCCGGCTGACTTGAAACTTATAGTTTTCAATGAAAAACTCAAAGATGCGCGTACAAGTGCCGCAAAATTAATATCTTCATTCTGTAGATATTCTTCAGTTGATACTTCTGAAGTTTCATTAAATAAAATATCATAGCAGCTTTTAATAACCTCTGGATTGAAGACATAAGATTCATTGAAGCCATAGATTATTGCTTTCTTGTACTGGTACAGACATAATTTCATTGGACCCATTGAATTGTCTTCATTGGCATAAGAGTAAGGTCCAATTGCACTTCCAATGCTTGCATATCCATTGTAAGCATAGTCAATTGTTTCATAAAATTCTTTTTGTTTATAAATAGCCAAGGGTCCAGCTGGAGGAGGATAACTGTTGATCTCCATGGTTGCATCCCAACCATTGAGGAATAGATGTGAGAATGTTATTCGGTTGTCCCATGTATAGTTCACATGATTGTAGCGACTATATGCAAATAAGCAGAGTTGCATTGTCACCAAAATTATTTTTATCACCTGAACAACAAATTTGTATGGAAAACGACGCTTGGCTTGCCATTTTTCGATCGGATTCATAAAAAAGAATTGTAGTTTTCGTCTCATGCGTTCTTCGCTTAAAAAGGCAGCCTGATGCTTGCAATTGCGTTGGTGTGTAATCGCACACAGCTCGTCATCTTCAGCGTCTGATCGTGTCGAATTTCCATGTGACTCCTCCATGATTAGCCAAAACGTAGGTATAACAAAGGTATCACTAAATTGACATTTGGGTCTATCGCGATTACTGTTCACATTATTTCTTCTGTGAGGAATGAAATGTTACTAACGGTAGTGGAATTATTTAAAGAGAATTACGTTCTTTGTCTACACCTGATACTAGACGACCAACAAACAACACAGTGTATCAACACCATCAACACGCAACCTTGCACGCAGCCAAGTGCAAGCGAGGAGAAAATAGTGTCGACATGTCTCGAATGAGGCGCTATAATCGAAAGCGGGAATTTGAATTAATTCTTGCTCTGAGACAGCAATCGCCAAAGGAATATAATAAAATACAAGGGCACTCTCCAGCAAGTGATAGGACGGTTTTCATCACAAAATAATCATAAATACCTTGTGACCTGTTGTATCACTTTGCACAATAGGCTATTGGTACCATGTGCAAGCACATCGTCCAAACATTTAACACACACAAAAAGAAATAAAACAAATAAATGCTGTGTGAATGCTTTTATTGCGGTGCAATTAAGAAAGTAGTTTTATTCATTAATTTTTCTCATTCATTCTCAATTCTTACGCGCGATGATTTACGGTCGCGAATTACGATGGCTCAAATATTTGGAATTACGAGCAAATAACAAATAACTTGTTGAAGCTGTGTCATCTTTTGTCTTCAATTTTGGGCAACGAAGCGCGCCTGAAAAAATCGAGTTGCAACCACGAAAAACGCGAATAAAACGTTCGAAAATAATGGAGTATCCCCACTCCTGCAAGATTTTAAAAGAAGACCGATTGCATTGTTGTTGCCCGGTACCGCGTCGCGCCTGAATTACCGAATGGCAAACGCGAAAGTAAAAAACTCGAATTTAACGGATTGTTGCGTACTTTATAGTGAGGTTACGATGATTTGAATGCACCTGCATATATTTGCGCATAAATATACAAGCCAGCCAGTTTGGTGTCAGGTGTACTCACTCAGTGCTTATAGACATCCGGCGTTTCTAGCAATGCTGGGTGGACTATCCCTGGACCAAGGACCTAGCCCCGAGTGGACCTCCCCTTCGGCTGTTGCATACGCAGCAAAATGCTTTGCGCATCCATCAGTCAGGGGCACTCGTGACTACCCTCCGGTCCAGGTCATCACCACACCTACCTTACATCCGGCTCCTAGAAACTGGGATCCTACGACAAAGTTTCTCAGGAGGATGCGTCGATATATTTCCAAACTTCTGTCCAAAACGCTGGTAGGTTGCTTGTAGTCGACTCATCTTCTTCTTCCCCCTCAATGGTGGAATGGCTCGAGTGGAAACATTCTTGGACAGCGAGCACGAATAACAAAATTCTTGGACGGAATACTCGCGCACTTACTACTTTGACGCGCACTCGATTCAATTCCGGTTTGAATAAGATTTAGTTTCTTTTATCAATTAATTAACAACTGAAAGGAACATGGCACCACCCTCTATTTCTAGATTGTCCAGAGTTTTGGAAGTGAGTCTATTAAACTTGTTTAAAAACGCGTCGCGACCCGCACTCGATGAGTATTTCGTTACACCTCTCCAGGTCAACCGAATTATATTAATGACGAATGTCAGCTGAAAAAAAGGATTAGAACGAGTAGAAAAGAAGACTTTAGTGAGCTAAATTTTGAAGTGCAAAAGAATATTTTAAGAAATTTAAAAGTAAGTTTTCAGTTAGTGTGCAATTAAATTTTTGATTAAAAGTTGAAAAGCATTACTAAATAGTTTTGATATAAAGGAAATAGCATTAATAACAAAAAGTAGAAGAAACAGCAATAAAGAACACAAATACAAAATACGATCGCGCCCGGGTTACAAAAAGTTCCCAAATATAATCGGATTTGTTCCTGAAACACAAGCAGAAAGCGCAATTAGTATGTGCAAATTAAAAAAAATACTGCACTTTAATTATAACCGCGCACTTCACTTCACTTTTATTAGAGATGCAAATTATGTAACGACATAATTTGAAAATCGCGATTATATGTTAACAACCAATGCCAACAATAGGCAGTAAGAAATCTTATAAGAAAACGCACAATAAAGAAATTGTGCAAAATTTCAAACCTGTTACCAAAGATAATCATATTTACGATTCTCATCATTGGGGGTGGAATTTCTTGGAATTGGGACTGCTACCAGTTCAATATTCTCTGTGTGTAGTGCAGAAAATTTTTTTTTAAAATTAATATAAAATCTGCAATTTGGCAGATATACAATTTTTGGTAAAATAATACATACCTACCAATAGAAATAACTACATACCATCGAGAAAACTCAAAATTAAAAAAATAATTAATATAAAATATGAAATTATAATTTTACGTGACACCCTCTATAAAAAGTATCAAAGTATATCAAAAAGTCACTATTTCGTATTTACTTAGAGAATGGAATGTTAAGATCAAAACAAAAATATTGCACAACAACAAGTCGATTCGCCTAGCACTAGTACTGCCGAGAAGCGCAGGTAAAGAGTAAGAGGTGAAGAAACAACTGATAAGATATCCGCGCACACACATACACACACACGCCGCGTGTAACATAAACACGATCACAAAACACCTCAAATTCCAATATGCAAAAGTAATTCTCTTAATTTTCAACTAAAACTATCAACTTCTCACGAAATACAAATATACCTTCTTGTAATACTCGAATTGCTCTACATACTGAACTAACTCGATGGTATGTAGTGTATAAATGGCGTATGATATGTACATGTTTATCAAAGACAATAACGTGCAAAAAAAACGCATGCACAAAAATATTAACGAAACCTTGGATTTTTAATCACCGACAACAACTAAAGACTAATAGAAATGTAAAACACTCACTTGTTACCACGATGATCACAGATTTCGGAAAAATAACGATGATCCTCACACAAGTTTTCCCAATGGCCGGCGAGGCGTCTTTCTGCTGCGCTGAACTCTTGACTGCACGAAGTGGCCTGCCGACGCGGTGCGCTTCAGCATCAGGAGCGCAGCGGGCTAAGATCTAGAGTGGGGTGATGCCGGCCAGCTTGGTGAAAACGAAAAGGCTCCAAGCATGCAACGAATATTGTACCTGTTAGTCCTAAGTTTTCCTAATTAGCCACAAAACTAAAGTAGTGCGCAGTATCACAATGATATGAAATGGAATAAAAAATATCTTTTACAAAAAGCCGTTGTTCATTTTTTTCATGAAAATCAAATACTCAAAAAATGGCGGACGAATAAACGCATCATGCAAATTCTAACAAGTTTTCAGTTTTATAGCTTTCACCAAGGCATGAAGTAAAGGAAAAACAACAGACTTACGTGTAATGCCGTTGCGTGCAGATTTTCACATGAGTTTACTTGAATTTATGTAGATTTTTGGCGGAGCTGCAGCTGCACTGACCAACGCCGACAATCTAATGCAACGCGTCACGCATGTGCAAAACATTTGAACGCTGCAACAAGTGTTGCGGTGACTAAGGGGGTAACATGCGCAAGATATAAAAAAACAAAATACGAAAACAAAGCAATAGACTCAAACCTTCAATTTTATCCAATTTGTAAGTCAAATTGAAATAGAAGCGTGTAGGTTTGATATTTTACAATTATACATATAAACATAAATTTAATGACAATTGTATTAATCTAAATTTTTAAATTAATTAGAATAGTGTAATTAAAGTAGTCTACATTTGTGCACCATATCTTTACTATCAAGTTTGAAATCTAAATTTTATTACATTTTAAAACACCTAACTCTATTCTAATAATTATATACGTATTTACTATATTTTTATTAATTAGACAAGTCAAATTTATATCAGTATTGCGCATGTGCAATTTCTGAGAAACCTAATCTTATCAATCTGACTCAAAATTGGCGAAGGTTGGTAAGGTAGGCGCATTCGCTAATTACAACACTAGACATAAAAATATAAACCATGAATACCAGAGCAGTCGGGTAAGTCCCGAATAATTTAAATAACAAACACATAATTAAATATTTTGTATCAGGTTTATACCAGAAGCAATGGATGCATGTGATGCTCCAAATCCACTTCATCAAAATATTATCCCAGTTATTCAACGCCCCAGTGAGGACTGCTATAAGATGAATCATGCAAAACGCGGCTACGCCCACATATTTAATCACATCCCTGATGGAATCGACAAAGCTCGAATTGCAGAAACCCTCAAAAAACTAAAATTTGAGGTGAAAATTCACGACCAATTAAAATACAGCGAAATTATGAAGGAACTAGAAATATGTAATATAAGCTTAATCATATTTATGTTACAATCATACTAATTTTGTTTTAATTTTATTAGTGGCTTCATTGGATTACAAAGATGTTGATTGTTTAATGATTGTCGTGATTACACATGGTGATGTGACAGGCATAAAAGCCCAAGATGAAGAATATTATCCTGATTTATTGTGGTCCAAGTTTACAAGCGAGAAGTGTCCATCATTGGCAGGAAAACCAAAAATATTTCTTATTGATGTACGCATATAAACTAACATTACTTTCTTAAGGCTTGGGTTTTTTTTTTGTATTTTTAGGCTTGCAGAGGTAAAATCGTTGATAAAGGTATCAACGTTCAATTTGATGGTAATTCGCCCAGTGGTGCGAAAACTGTTAAAATTCCAAAGCTGGCCGATATTTTGATTATGTTTTCGACTCAAGATGGTAAAGAAATTGATAAATACTTTTAAATAACAAAATTTATTGTTTTTTGCGTAATTTTATAAAAGGGCATTATGGATATGGGGATGACATAAGTGGATCTTGGTTTATACAAGCCTTGTGTGAAGAAGTCGAGAAACGTTATACATCAACTGAGTTTACCAATATTCTCACATTAGTGAACAAACGAGTTGCTTTCGACTTTCAGGGTAACAATCCGAAGAATGCAACATTTCATGAAACCAAACAAGTTGGTTCAATTGTTTCTAGTCTTACCAGACTAATCTACTTTTCTTAAACATATTCGATGCCGAACTTTAGAATACGGTACAAATGATAGAATAGACATAATAAAGATTATAATATTGTTCTAGTTTATCTGTTAATGTATAAATACGATGTAAAAGAAATGCTCTAGGTGAGGCTCGAACTCACAACCCCGGCATCGCTCACGACTACTGTCTTATAAGTACCGTGCGCTAACCAATTGCGCCACTAGAGCAATGAAGATGGAGTATGAAAATACCGTACATCTGTTAACCTGACAACCTGCCACCTATGTACGCATTTCATTCGAATTATATACAGCAAATAGGTATGTAATGTCAGTTTACTGTTGCCATCATACTGTCAACATCATCAGCTGATTTAAATTCTACATAAAAATACCTACATGTTCATTAAAAGGATGACGTAGAAATTGAAACAATAAGCGTATCCACATTGACGCTGAAAATGAGTTGGTTTGATACAGCTGGTTTTGCGAACATAGCAAAAACCGCTTTGAAGGAGGCCCAAAGGACCATTGATAAGGCATTGGATATTAAAGAAGAGAGCATTGTTCCGCCTGCTAATACTCCAATTGACACAAATTCGGATGACTTCTTTGGTTCCTGGGGTGTTTCGCCCACGGATGCTAAAGAGGAGAACACAAGTTTGGTAACTTCAAGCCCTTCAAAGATAAAGCAACCTTCAATATGGGGTTCATTCACTGGTTCCTTCTTTGATCCATACTCTACTATTAAAGAACCCAGTTATAATATTCAAGCAAGAGATTCAGTGGACAGTTTGGATGATTCTGTTGGTGTGGAACACTTTCGTGAAAGTAAATTAGTTGTCCATCCTGCGGATGAAAGCATTGATGGTGATAGTTACTTGAGTCCAGGAAAGTATACATTTTGCCTTACATAGAAAGTTATATGTAATAAATTGTTTATTTGTAGGTGGTGAATTGAAAAGATCCAGTAGTGTTCCAGTTGGTGGCTCAGATAATGAACAGAAAAGTCCAGAAAGTATTGAAGTAATTACATCAAGTGCATTAACAACTCCTGACTCTGAATTGTTGTCATCTAACTCAGGTATATAAATAGATTGTTATGTCTAATACATACCACTGTAACACCTGTTTTTAGTAACTCAAATTACAACTGAATCTATTGAAATACTACAAAACAGTGTAACAAGTCCAAGTTCTATTGAAGTGCTTTCTTTGAAAGCGCATCATCTGCTACACCAAAGGATGAAATCAGGTAATAAAAGAAGTGTGAATAAATAACAAATACATGATAATTAAAAATATATTTGTAGTATATTAGCAACTCCAGACAGTATTGAGGTAATCCCAGAAGATATTGAAGAACCCAGTATAACAGATGACTCAGTGTCATTGAATTCCCCATCGGAATGCACCCAGAATACAGCCTATGAAAACGTAAATGCTCCCGTAAAGCATAAGCTGCTTACTCACACGGAATCGGCGTTCGGTGAACCAAGTACCAGTTCGGATGCACCGATTACAAGAGCTCCTAGTAGATGTGGCATGCATTTGCCGTTGCAACACATCCAAGTACCCAATGTTATTGATATTCCGCAGGACTTGCAAATCACGAGTATATCGGAGGCCGATGAATCCACCTACTCGGACAGAACGATGGTCGGAAGCGATAACGTGATGGAGAGTAGTAGTGACACGAGCACAACCACAGATAGCAATACTAGTTCTTTGTACTTGAAAAATATGATTGCTGACGCGATGACCGAAAAACGCTCGGACACAGAGCCGCATTACATGGATTTGAAGCAAACAATGCTGGGAGAGTCCACCGGTCCCAACATGTTACAGAATCTATCTATATCCCAGTTGGATATGCCTCCGCGAGAGACATCGCCAATAAGTTCGGAGAGTAGGTCGGATTTAGTCAAGGTGGGTTCGGATCAAACTTCTGGTCATACGTCTGGCGACGAAATTGAGACCACTACATCATCGGATATAGAAATTATCTCCAGTCCTAACGGAGATTCGAGCAGTACACAAAGTAGGCATAGTCCAGCGAAAATTACAGGTGGAAAATCTAAAGGAGATAGTCACATTGAAGGTTTCTTGGGTAAGATTAATATGAAGAAAATAATGGGTCATCATCGCGAATTATCAGAGACATCAAACATAAGCGATGATTCGGAAAATGATAGACTTATAAAACGACTTGCTGAAGTGACTGAGATTTTGGAGATACGGGAAAATAAACTTATTGAAACATCGCGGAAACTATCAGAGGTGCAAGAACTTAATAGCGATTTGCAAAAGCAATTAGATATAGCCATGAATAAACAAGTGCAATCGGCGGATATATCGGAAGTGACGGAAAAGTACGCACAAAGATTATCTGCCTTGGAAAAGAAGTTTCAGCAGGCGATTCGGGACAAGGACTTGATGCGCAAACAACTCGATCAATGTCGGGAGGACAATGCAGTAAGGATGAGTAAGAGTGAAATAGATGGAGTGATGGAAGAAAAGGATCAGATTATTAAGGAATTGCGTGAGGAGGGTGGAAAATTATCGAAACAACAGTTACAACATTCTAATATCATTAAAAAACTGCGAGCCAAAGAAAAGGAGAATGAAAACACCATAAAATACTTAAAGTAATGAAAATATGTTAATGTTTGTCTATAAATAATTAATTTTCAACGTCTCTTTATTTTAGGGATTCGGTGGAAGATTTCTCATCAGAAACAGAACGACTTAAGCGTTCATTAAGCGCAAAAGAAGAAGTTGAACGCTCCCAGATAGAAGCAATCCATCAGTTAACAGCAAAAACAAAGAAACTTGAGTATGAATATTCACAGGTACAAGGAAACTACGATGATCTAGTCCAAAAGCATGATACTGTTAAGAAATCGTTGGACGCTGCGAAAAAAGAATTGATAGATAAAAATAAAGCGAGTAGTGAATTACAACAACGCGAACAGCTTTTGGAGAGTTTAGAAAATTCTAAAAAGATGACCGAATCCCAAAATCAAGAGGTAATATTGTCAATTGGAAACAATTCGAAATTTTAAATGGTAAATTTCTAGATTATCAATCAACTTGAGGATTTGAGACTAAAAATGCGTGAAGGTGATCAGGAGTTGTTAGGAAAAGAACAGAAATTCCGATTGGAAAATGCAGAACTCATGCGCCGACTTGAAAATGCTGAGTCTCGGAATGAAGAGTTGTCACAATCTCTGCTTGAAGCGAGTAAACCTTTGGTTAGGCAATTGGAAGCACTACAAGCAATGCACAACATGAAAGTTTCTAGTTTTGAGAAAACGGAACAAAGTTTAACTATGCGTATAAGTAAGAATTAAATTCCGATGTTAATAAAACACAATTTGACTGTTAATTTTTTAGATGAGTTGCAAAACAAATTACACAATGTTATGGAATCATCTAGGGGTGCAAAGGAAGAATGTTTGTTGTATAAAAATAAACTGTCTTCATTACAAGTCGATGTTGAGTCGTTAACACGTGAAAACGACCAATTGAAAGTACAGATTGATCAAGCGAAAACTGATTTAATGCTGCGCGAACAGACTTATAACAAGTATGTTGCTTTCAACAACAATCGACCCACAATGTAAATAATCTTATGTTTTTAGGGAAGTTGAAACTTTAAAAGAGACGGTTACCAATCAAAATGAATCAATTGCAAATCTACAGAAACTAGTTGACGGTTTACAGTATAACATTGATGTGGAACGAAACAATCACGAAAAAGAAAAGCGGAAAATACAAGAAACATTCCAACATGTATGAATAAAATTGTTATGTTAACTAGGAAATTGTATTAATATGATTATGATTTTAGGATCATCCGAAAGAGAAGTTAGAGAAAACCAGTTCAGTCACCAGAACATCACCAATAGAATATGCAAACGCAGGTGGCAATCAATCACCGACTCCAAGTGTGGGTAGAGTTTCTGTGTGTGAATCAATGAGTAGTTCTCTTTGGCCGGTATGAAACTTAAATTCTTTCAATTCATAATATTCTATTAATAATTATGCATTTTCTAGGAGGAAAATATAGAATTGAGTACGTTATCAAGGTGCACAAATATATTAGAAATGCAATTCCTTACAACTAATTTGAAACAACGCGATGGCGATATTCAACAATTGCAATGGGAGTTAAACCGGCGGGAAAACGAGCGTACTTTGCTGAATACCGAAATTTCTCAGTTACTAACGCGTGTTGAGGATTTAAGCGCAAAAACAAACAAATTGGAAGAGATTGAAAAAGAACTGACGGAGTTGCGACAGCAGTACGAAACCCTCTGTCAGTTGTACGGCGAAAAGGTTGAAGAGAACGACGAACTGAAATTAGATCTAATTGATATTAAAGAAATGTATAAAGCACAGATTGACGAACTATTGTTGCAACAAAAACGCGCCACTTAATTATTGTTTTATCCATGTGTGTTGAAGATACTGTACAGAATTCCAATGTATTAAATCGTTTTGTTATTTTTAAATATTATGATGTTGCCAGTCAGATAATTTTATTACAAAAATAAATTAATGTTATACTAAGAACCAGAAATTACTCATTTTGTTATGTTTATTAAAGTGACAAAACAACATTCTACCCCTACTAATCTAAAAATTATTTAAATATACTTAAATACAACACTATTTTTATCAGTGACAGTTTGCAGTTCTAATTTGACTGGACATTGCAACCAAAAACTTAACAATTCCTCAGTGTACCCAAGAAGGAAGTAAAGCTTTCTTGGACTAATTGATTGCCTTAGAATAGCAGCAATTCTAATAATATTATGTTGCCTTTTAATTATAACTTCACTTACTATTAGAGCATGCCATGTACCAGTCATGAACATTCTTATAAACATGTCTTCAACAAGCATTTCTGAAGTACGAAGTCCTCCTTCAACACTGGCTAAATTGCCAAAGAATTAAAGTGGGTTAGTTAAACCTAAAGTATTTCTAACTTACATGTGTTCCATGAATTCCACGATTTTCTGTGGGCTATCTGATAGGGTGGATTAGCCATTTCATATGTCAAGGGAAAGTCTTTCTTTGGTGTGATTCGATAACGGCCTGATTGAACCTTACTACATGCTGCAGATGTATGAAAGGTGTTGTTTTGTAGGAATAACAATGGGCTGATACGGTTTTGTAATGCCTGTCAATATATTAACTTATTACACTATTTTCAAGAGCAATATTTGTAAATTTACCGTGTATAATCGCAGAGTATTATTCATTTTTGCCGGATCTCTGAATCTTACACTTTAAACAAATGTGGGTTATGTCTAATATAATCCAAGGAAGGTTAGTAAATCTATTAATCGTTTCTAGTTTTATGGCATATTGTGTACATAAAAGTCCTTGCCCCTGGCATGACTTTTCCTTATCAAAGTCACTTCAAAGTTGCGTTGGTTGCTCTCTTCAAAGAACACCGAAAGTTTCAAATCATTAGCAATAGAATCTTTGACCAAAATGAGCACAAATGATGAAGATATTGAGATTTGCAACTGTTCCAAATTGCTGGGATCTTGTTTGGATATTGTCACTCCAAAGAATGAAAAATTAAGTGCCTACTACAAAAGGTAATTCTACATTATGAAATTGTATCTGGCTGATGTAATACATATTTAAAATAACATTTTAGGAGTTTTGCCCATTATACAGTGAAGTCTCGATTGCCAGTTATACTAACTAAATTAATAGACAGTTTAGCAAGGAGTAAACAGGATATTCTAGAAATTTATGGGAAGGTAATTGTTTGTACAATATGTTAGAACTATCCCTAATAAGTCATATACTTTTATAGGAGTCTTTGGATGAACTCAAGACTGTTATTGGTGAAATATCTAAACTAAAATATGAGCTGCAAACCAATAAACAAGTTGCTAAATTGGAATCCAATACACCTGATGCCAAGGCATACAACATCTTCATTAAGAAATCCCTGGACCAAAACTGCCAATGCTCATATTATAATGTCATTTGGTTATTTGCTGAATGCTTTATGTATCGCCGAATTTTTGAGATTTTCATAAAAACGTACGTTTCTTATTAATGATATTAACATATTTACTCATATGTTTATTTCCTCATAGGGATTACTTGCAGGAATTTGATTACTTTGCTAAGTACAAGCAGTCTGCATTTGAGAGTACACAACCTCTCATGAGTGTTTTAGGAGGAAAACTGATTGAACTAACTGCTGGTATAACACCTGAGTCTCCAGCAATGGATAGAGATGGTTTAAAAAGCAAATTTGTAACACTTCTGAAGCTAAATCTTTGGGGCAATAAATGTGATTTGTCTCTATCACTAGGAAAGAATGAAGAATCACAGACCAGTTTTGTTGATGACTTGGGAGTTATGGATACAAATATACTATGTGATCAGTCTGATGAGATCTATGCTGCACTCTGCAGAGACACCATGTTTGAAGTAATTGATTTTGTCTGTGACAATGCTGGCTATGAACTATTTACTGATTTTTGTTTGGCTGACTTCTTGATAACCCACCAATATGCAAGGCAAATTCGCTTCTTTGTGAAACAGATCCCATGGTTTATTTCGGATGTTATGCCCCGGGATATTTCCTGGATCTTGGAAACACTTGCAAATTCCGAAGATAAGAACTTGAGAAATTTAAGCGAAAAATGGTTAAGATATTTTGATACTAAGTTGTGGGTTGTGGAGGAATCGTATTTCTGGACCACCTATTTACCCTTTTCGCAAATGTTAGAGAACGACGAGCAGCTATATAAAAAATTGTCTAGATCAAAGTGTACATTTTATAAGGGTGATTTAAATTATCGTAAGTTATTGGGCGACAGAAACTGGGATCCGGTGACTCCATTCGAAGATGCTCTTGAGGGCTACCATCCAAGTAGATTGTGTTCTCTGAGAACACTTAAAGCTGATTTAATTTGTGGCTTGAGAGAAGGTTTGGCACAGGAAATGGAGGAGAAGGATCCAGAATGGCTTACTTCAGGCGAATATGGCGTTATTCAATATTCTGACAAAGTTACGAGAGTTTAACATACAAATTTTCAACATATCTAATTCGCAATACTACATTTGTATTCTCCAAAGAATAAATAAAATCCCCTTTTCAATCTAGCAAATTTCTCTTTTGTTGTGTATATTTTCAAACATTTCTGTGGCAGCAATGGCAACTACCCGCAATTTGGGGAAGGGGAGAAGTTTCAGACATGTTCCTAATTGTCAAGAGGTTCCTCTACTTTTAATGTAAATGCTATTTTATTGTTATAGCATAAGCATAATATATGATAGGTAACTAAAACATTGTATATAATAACAATGTTACCAACAGTAAACTATCAATAATATTGCACCTTAAATAAATTGCTTACTACGAATACATTTAATTTAACTGGTCTGGTTTGGAGCTGCTGGTTGATCATCTTTTGCTACTTCGCTGCTTTCTTGATTTTCCTTGTATGATTCTTCAAAGTTTCCTTGTTCCGAATTCGGATCATACTGACCATACTGCTGGTCGTACTGTTCCTGGCTCATATACTGTTGTTGCTCCTCGTAATTTCCTTCCGGGTATGTAGGATACGCGGCACCAGATTCGTCGTATTGTTGATTATCATATTGATTTTGATTATAATAATTTGGATCCTTTTCCGTGAAGTTTTCCTGTTCAGTGCTAGCTGGTTGTGGCGTTGTTTGTTCTACGTTTTCTACATTTTCTTTGACAGAATTGGAGACTGTTAAAGTAACCAAAACAAACTCTTGAATTGCTACAATAAATTGCTTATCTAAACAAATTACCTGTTTGGGGCAGATCTTTAGCAAATTGCGGAGTTTTTTCTAACTTATTTGATAAGTGTTCTAAATTAGCTTGTAGTTGTTGTATTTCCACCCTATAGGAATTATAATTATTAAATTTCATAGAACTGAGTATTAATCAGTAACATGTTAACCAGTTTAAATGTATATGTTTAAGCATGAAGCGTTCAAAAGAGAAACAAATTAAAGCATAAATTCATGATTATTGCAAATAATTCAATAAAACCGAAATCGCCATTATTAGATTGTATAAATAACCGCTGTCCATATTATTCTGTCCGGATATAAGAAGTGCAAAATAAAACGTTTTCCACTAAACACTGAATATAAAATTTGAGCAAACCTTTCGCTTAGGTATCAATTTTACGGTGACATCAACTTTAATAGGCTCCTTGCGTTTGGTTGGTCGGGGACATTGCAAAGCGGACTCGTTTTTGTGGTCCATTTCCGCTCCTACCAAACACAAAGTCGGTATAACTACACAACGAAACCTTCGGTTACTAGGCAATTCCAAACTGCTTACTTGCGTGCATAAAACCAAACATGAAAGACTAAATACTCTACGTATATGCAGCGTTTTGTAACACAAAGAAACTCAAAGGGTTTGTATGAAACTGCGATTGATCAATTTAATAGTAATCGCTTACTTATGAACCGAGCTGGATTCCTCAAGTTTCTGTGTTAGTGCATGACACTCGGCAGACAGTTTGTCCATGAGTTGATTCTGCGATTGGATCATTCCCTCGAGTTCGGCCACGGTGGCCACTGCAACCAACAACAAGCATCCATCAACTCATGGATAAACAGGGACAACTCCGTACCCCACAACCCACCCAGACCAAATACTAACAGCTTGTTTCAATCGCTAGCTAAACTCGAGGACCACCTACCGTGCTTTGCTTCCAAACTCTGTATCTTGGCAGCTGTCTCGTCGGCTTCCTTCTCTTCAACTTGTTTGGGTGCAGGCAGTGCAATAATTTTGTTAATCTTGTTCTTTTCATCGGCTAGAGCGTTGTTCATGTTAATTTCTTTTTCTAGTGCGGCTATTTGTTCAGTAAGCCGGAGGTTCTCTCGGCGGCTGTGAATCAAATCTGCATCGGCACGATCCAATCTCTGTCGTAACGATTGCATTTCCACTTGGTTTCTTGCTGATTCCTGTTTGCTTTGACGTTCTGTACGTTCGTTGCCCATTTGCAGTGTGGCAATTTGTTGTTCTAGAGCTGATTTTTCGGCACCGCTTACTCCAATGTCTGATTGCAATGTTACTAGAATAGTGATCAACATAAAGTTATAGCTACTTAAACATTAAGTAAAACTTACTAATTTTACTTTGCATTTCCTTCTTGAGTTCATCAATTTGTGCCTGTTTTTGTGCCAACTCACGCCGCAAGTCAGCATTTTCCCGACGATGTTTGTCTAACTCCAATTGAAGTTTGTTGCTCTGCTCCCAATGGACACCTAACTCGCTGCTGAGTTGTTCGATTTGTTGCGAATACCGACGTTCTACGCTGGTACGTTCATCCGCAACGCGTCGACTTTGCTCATTAAGCGCGTCACGCAATTTTCCGTGTTGACGCTCCAATTCGTCCTTCAGTCTTCGGATTTCATGTTCGGCAGCGTTCTTTTCGTACTGGGCTTGTTCCGCAATATCTAAACTTCGTTTAACATGGTCCGTGGTAGAGTGCTCCTTGTCACGCAGTGAGTTTAATGCAGTTTGAAGTTTCGTTACGGTTTCCTGAAGAACCGTGTTATCATTCTTTAAACTCTCCAATTGTTTCTTGGTACCACAATCGTCAGAATAGTCAGCATGCTTGCGATGACACTGTTCATTGCCTTCCTGGCTCTTTTTCAAATCAATGCGCGCTTGTGTCAGTTTTGCTTCCAATTCGGATATTCGCGATTCGTACATAATTGACGGTCCTTCTAAACGTATCGTTTCTTTGATAGATTTAATAGGCCGTGTTTGATCACTGTCTGTGTCGAGTTCAGTTTCAAATTGATCGAAGACAGTTTTAAGTAGTTTGTCTTTTTGTTTTTCGTGTAAATTTTCATTTTCTTGAATCACTTCTTTTACTTTACCGAGAAGCGTTGATAATTCCTCGCGACAGAAACGAGATTCGCGTTCTAGCTGATCAATATAATCTTCTTGGCGTTCCAAGAATGTTGATAATTCAGAAGATGTTGCAAATTGTCTAAATTTAACGTAAAAAATCCGGTTTAAAACTATATCCGCAATTTTTACAAGGTCGCGACTCGAAAAACTTTAAATCATCTTTAATTTTAAATTAAATTTGCACTTACTTTTCGTGTTCCGTTGCAATCCGTGGAATAGGATAATACTTTTTAAAATTCCCCAGTGTATTATACGTTGGATACTTTGAAACTCGACTTATAACACTGACGACACTTTGATTATCAGTATCATCACCCGCGTTATTCAGAATCTCTCTAGTAGTAGGTCGACGCCGAGGAGAATAACTTTCAGCAAGAAGAATCCTCAATCTACCTACGGCTTCGTGGTAGGCTGTATCCGCATAATCTGGTTTCTTCCTGATAAAATCCATTTTTGGAGTCGGCGATGACTTTCTTTATAAACAAAATACTTTCGGTTACTTTAAATGCATTTCTAACTTTTGCGCTGCACTTGTTTGTATGGCTATTGCACTTGTTCTGATGAATGAAATCAATAGAGTATGACTCGTAACACACAATGAAAAGGTATGTGTCTAGACAGGTTGAGAATAGGGGTCTGGTACAACCCTCTTTTCTCCCCCTAATAGTTATGCGTGTTTACTATCCAATTACAACCTAACTCACGCGGTTTGCTCCCCTTGAAGGAGGGTATGTGTGTATTGTTACGTGGTGCATTAACATGTTTTGAATGTAGCTCAGGTGAATAAATTAAAATTTAAAATCAATAAAAATGCACTTAGTCACGACGCAACTTCAATATGACGCTTAATACAGTGTAATCCCGAACATACTTATTGTCTACTTAATTTTCTGCAGTTTAATATTTCAAGATATTTAAATTACTTTTAGTTATGTAAGTTATAAAAAGAAAATCAACGCATAAATTGATGGGTATAAAAATATGCTAAGTAACCGACGCACAACTTACTTATTCCGCTTTTTCTTCTCATGTCCTCCAAATTGTTTGGAGTACTTAGAATTCAATGAACTATAGAGATTCTTTAACGCACCCATGCGTGAACCAATAACACTACCGCTTTTGTATTTATCTTTAGTCAATCTACCTCCGGAGTGCATAGCTTCCGGACAACTGTGATATATGCCGGTGAAAGCAGCCCTTAAATAAGTTCCGCGAGTTTGTTACATCGATATCAAAATTACTCCTGGATTGTTTTATTGGGTTGCGCCTTAAGTGGGCGGAGCATATGCTTCTTCTCGAGAGTAATCAATAGAAGAAAAACAATAAAAACGCTAAGTAAATAGTAAAAGTGAAAGAAGTCAGTGCAAAACATAATTAAACTTTCTTCTATCAATTAACACGAAATACATTTATAAATAGTTCTCACTGAACAGTTTATTGACATGGTTTTCCGCCATTCCTGAACGTAAACAAACAAATGGCGTGCGCTATCTGTGCGAATAACTTTACACAAGTTTATATTCCATACACAAGTGACAGTTAATAGAATGCGTGCAAGGGATGATTCGTAGCTCGGGGTAAAATTATAGTGCTATCAGTAAATACAGCTTTCGGTATGTTTCAGTTCCGAATCATTATTTGTAAGCACGCTTGGTACGGCATAGCACGACAAATCCTTCCACGATTCTCAATGTCTCGGATCATATTTTGCGGTTACAAATACGATTTAAGACCAAACTATTCATTTCTTATTTCAGCTTCTGACATAAACGACTTTTTCATCACCACATTTAACACACGTTGTTTACAGTTGATCAAATCATGTTTTATTCACCATTTTTTATATGAATCGTTTATAATATTTAAATTTTTAACAGAAAATACCTTCCACATACATTTATAACTTTCAAGTATAAACTACAAATAAACTACATATAACTAAACAAATTTCGTAGAAACAAATATCCCAATAAACGAAATAAAATCTAATATTGCTAGATTTAGCCCCCAAAATAAATTTAAAAATATACGTAAATAAATATTTGTTCATATTGCAATTGTTTGTTACTTCATAATATACGTCAACACCGCATACAAGTATGTGAATTATTTCTTACTATATTTTAGTACATTTGTTTCACATGGGCATTAGCAATGTGATACGAAAATGCTGCGAGCGTTTGATAAACTTTTCCGCACACCATGCATGTATTTGTTATTCCACAACTGTGGCGATGATGATAGTTAAGATGCTTACGATATTTGTATGACTTTTGACACCGTTCACATTCGAAACGCTTTTCTGAAACATACACAGATGTTTGTTGTATAAAAAATGATTAAAATTAAGTTTAGTCGATACGTCCACTACATAAAAACAGTATTATACGATCATAAACATAATCAGGACAAAATAAAAATTAAAATCGTTTTAAAATTAAAACAAAACAAGTCGTAGTCAAACTCTTAAGCCCTTAGGAAGGATCATAGGTAAATAGTTAATAGTATATAATTTATAATAACTAAAGTCTTTGTAGGCTAGTGTTACAATTGATACATATTGGAGAATTATTTGTTGTTGCTTTGGTTTGTATGCTTTGTTTCAGCATTTTTTACTATAAATGATATTCCACCCTGTTTCCTATAATAAAGTTTAAAATAGATTTATTATTGTTCATTAAGCTTTCGCTTCTTTACTCACCCATCCAGGTTGTGACGAACTTTCTGATGATACTTGATGCCTGGCATTGAAGTGTAAACGATTCCACAAAAGCATTGATATTGTTTTCCACATTCGTGCCGTTGGTGATATCTCAATGCGTACATGTTCGTGAATCGCTTGCCGCACATCTCGCAATGACAGTTGGGCAGTTTCAGATTTCTTCGCGTCCTTTTCATCAGTTTGAACATTTTAGCTACAAAAATTTCGTGTTAAAATATGTTCTCGCTCGATACTCAAACATGAACATTACTAACTACTAGTTAAATTAATTATATGTACAACAAACAAACAGGTTGGTCGATGTTGGATTAAATTTTATTGTCATAACTTGGCTCGTCTATAAAGGCTAGAAATCGGGGAAATTAAATGGGACTTGATGTCCATTGTTATTACTTTTTCCCCCATAGTGCTTTATTTTCCGGTGGCGATATAGATTCGGTTTGTGGCTGTACGACTTGCCACACATGTTGCATTGATATCTGTTGGCGTATCCTGTAACAAGTCCACCTAAAATATCAACATTTCTATTAACGATCACGAATATTTGTGGAATTCAAATTATATACGGAATGTTGTTAATATTAGAATGACACAAAACAAGCATTTACCCCTTGGCATCACAAAACAAGCAATTCATGTGCACAATCAAGCAGTTAGTTTAAAATTCTTACAGTTTATTTCAATAATACAGGTGTTTAAAGTGTTTAAACTTAATGTGCTTGTCAACGTGTCCTTTTTGATAGGCTCTGTAATTACAAATCGGACATTCAAAACTTTTAAACTTATTGCACTCATATTTGTAATGTCGACTCAGACTTGGCTGGTGTACGTATGATTTGCCGCATTGCTTGCAAATGTATTTTCTAGCTGACGAATCATCAGCCCTATCCACATCTGAAACAAATCGTTTTATTCATAATTAATACATTTACAGCGCGTGACAGAATAACTGCTACACAGAGAAACACATAAACGCAACTTGCACAAATAGCTTGCTACTGAAAACAATTTCGTTTTAATTGAATAAATATTTTATTCTTCAAATTAAATTCTTGCACACATTATCAATCTTAATGCTACACGCTTGGGTATAAATAAATTAACATCACTTCTAAGTTTTAAACAACATAAAAAATTCAGTCGTAAATAAAGAGTATTTCTGACCAGATTATATCGTAATTTGTAAATTAATCGTCTTCTATAAATTTAAATAGTTTCACAAACACTTTAATAGGTAGGTCGCCTAAGATAATTAGTTTTATGTTTGTTTATATAATGCCTGCTGATATTATACAGGCGAGTTGTATTGTACGAACAATATTCACAATGAAATGCTGCGGATCTTTGACTTTGACTAGCATTTGTATCCAATGGCCGCGGGATTTCAATGACACCGTAGGACAGATGACCAAAGTGTGTCGGTTCTAAAACTAAATATACATTGCGTTTTTAAATTAAATGACTCGTTGATAATTGCACATGAAACAAAATCTGTTGGACAAATACTTCCCCCAACAATAAAAACAAAAAATAAAAACAATTAAATAAATAAATAATTCCAATAGACAAAAACAAATATCGATGACAAAAAAAATCGTTAGATTAGATGTACCTAATTTCTATAAACTTTAAATATTTGCTGTAATAGCAAGAAATTTGTTTTAAACTGTAGTTTATACGCTAGGGTTTTCAACCTTCTTATGTAGAATATTCTATTCTAAGGTTTTGGCATTTGCAATGACTAGATGCATTTATTATGTATGCCTTTTGGTATTGTTGCGAAAGTTACTTCGCAATATGTAGCAACTTATGACGCTTCAAATGGTGACGGTAAAAGAAAACTGCTTCGCATTCATCGCAAAGGAATCCCGGCTTCTTTCCGCATGCAAATCTCGTATGGTTGTATAGAGATTTCCTGCTCTGATACTGCTTGCCGCATACACCGCAGTCGAATTCGTTGCGGAACGTCCATTTTGCTTTGCTTAACCGTCTAGTTCTGCTCGGGACGCCACGAACTACAAACACAACATTATATTAATTCTATTTGGAATTGTTTTACAATGATAGCAAACGCATGCACTTACGGCAATCGTCAATATTTTTAAAACACGAAACATTACATCTAACTAAAAAAGACAAAAAAAATCAAAACAAACAAAAAATAATAGCTTAACATTTTGTATCGCAACTTAAAAACTCTTATAGTTACAATATTAATTATAAGGGAATAGATTGTATTTTGATTAAGGCAAATATAATATATTTATGTATATAAAACATTTATTCATTGTTGTAGTCGAAATAATTTAAAATTTTCATTCATTGAATGAGTTCTTCCATTGCAACTTCAACCTAAAACAAACTTTGTTAATAATGTGAAGATTATGCCATGTATATACTCACTTGAACTTAAAATGAAATTGTTTATGCTGTATTATTAATAATATATTAAACATATACAAATCAACATTCTTATTACTATATATCTTTATTATTAAATTTCCTCTGAAAGTATTTATATAATCACACAACTAATAATTAATAAAATAATCATCGGAACAGTCTATAAAAATTTGACTAAGGATCTATGACCGAATGCATAAAAATGAATAATAAATTAATTGATTAAAAAATATGGCATATAAACTTATTCTTAAAAATCCACAATTATTACACGTTACTATTGTATCGAATAAAGATATGTCACAAATGTATATGTATAGTGTAGGTTAATAAATAAATAAAATTTTGGCACATTTAGAAGATGATGATTAAAGCAGACACGAGTACGTTGAATTGTTATTAAATGTAGCCTACATTGTATTCAAAAATCCCACCGCTATCCACTTTTCGACTACTGCAAATCATAGAAACGATAAACGACGAAAAAGAATAAAATAGTATCCAAGTCTAAATGATATGGTTTTACCCTATGCGGTTATACACACCATTTCAAGAATATTGATTTACATGGGGCGCGAACGCATTCTTATTTATAATCGAATATGCGATGAATCTTTTGCAAGTGGTCTCGCAAGACATCGTTTCGCTTGCACCTTCGCGGACAGAGCGGGCACTGAAAAGACATTTGCGTGCTGCAGTCGTAGTTCAATGTTCTACAAATAGGTTTCCGTGCTAAGCTGGCAGGTTGGCTTTGACTTTGATCTAAAACATACAATAAATCAAATGTTTTACACGTTTCAATAGGCGCAGCGCAACATTATCAACAGTAAGTAAAAACATCCAGACTAAAATACTCACACTAGTAAGAAAATCGCATGACAAAAATATAACTAACGGGAAAAGGGGAACTTTGAAAGACACAAACGTTTTATTTAATAAACATTTCATTAAAACACTGTACAATATTATTTATTAGCTTTGTAAATATAGTCCATGGACATGCTTCAAGTGTCGGTTCAGACTAGATTTGAAATGCATTCGTGCGTTGCAAACTGAACACACTTGCGTTGGATCTTTCCCACATTGAACCGTTTGATGCCTCGTCAGTGAGCACTTATTTTGGTAACGTCTTCTGCATGTGGCACATTCATATGGAGCATAGTTGTACTGATCTAAAACTAAAAATGTATTAATTAATCAAGAACAAGAGATACGACAATAAGCAAACTTTAAATACAAATCTGATTTACTCGTTTTGCACATTGTTTATAACTAATAAAGAGAATACATAAATATTAGTAACCGTTATGGATTAAACTCTTTATTGAAACATTCAAGAAATTATACAGTGAAATAAGGAAGGATAGATGTTAATAGAATGATTAAAAACGTTTTTATAATCCCTGCTCATAGATTTTGTCACGATGATCTCGTTTCATATGTTTAGTGAGCAAATCTTTTGTCATCGCCCTATATTCACAATAGGGACATTCAAAGTCGGGAACCATTTCGCAGTATCGCATATGACTGAACA